GGGGTTTCAGGCTAGGAGAGGAAAGAGACCCAAGTTCCAACATCAGCCCAGACAGCGCGCAACGGCCACGGGGGATCCCGAACCTTGGCGATATTATTCCCTGCCGTCAGTATCTGGTGCCTTGAGGAGTCTTGGTGGTCTGATGCGGCCTTTAAACCGACTTAGTGCACCTGATGCTGATGGGTTTTATTTTTATTCTTATTTTAATCTTTTCTTTTTTAGTTTGTTCTTTTTATCACGCTTACACGGTATCTATGAGATTATACCACCTTCTGCTTCAATTCTTTGATTACACCCTGCTGTTCTGGCCGGGACAGAAACAAGAAAAGGCCGCTCAACCGGCAGTGTCGGGCCAGACTCTTCATGACAGTTTGGAGCCGTGGGGCAATTCGACGCAGCTGATTGACAGCCTACAGATTTTCTCAGTAACCACGACACCAAGGAGGAACAGAAAAAGGCAAAAATGAGTAAAAAAAAAAAGAAATTTTATGATGAGCAAGAGGGTCGTCTAATTCAAGGCTCCAGAAAATTGACTTTGGAGAGAAGATGCTACTAGTGCAAAGGAAGCTGCCGAATGACACGCTCGCCCAAAGGTCGATGGCACAACCCAGTGAGGGTCCACTAATTGATGGACAGCTAATCGGAATGGCTGCAAATAATCTCGATGCTTCCCTGTAAGGGCGCTTAGGCGGGAAGAAGAGAGGAAGAAGGGGCAAACGCCTCAGAACATTGGGAATAACGCTCTCTCAGTCGTCATCTGGGCTCCAACCCTTTCTCCGCCGGGCTCAAAACGAGTCGGAGCCGATGCGCGACCGAGTCTAAACATGGACTGCGGTGGTATTTCTCATCTTACTACTAACTAACTACGGAGTACCTACGGAGTACGTACTACGACTTTCACCCCTGCTCCGTCTTCATGGAATGTCTAGATAGGTGAGCGAGTCTGTGGTCAACCGATGCATCAATTTGATTAACCAGAACTCTGTCTCTCCTTGCGACCAAAGTCAGATATATTGCCCCGTATATTAATGTGAGGTATCTCTCTCTTCTCTCCAGCCCCAAAAAGGGTCGAGGATGTGATCTGTCGGGACGGGTGACTAAGCTCGTATCCGATTGGCTGTGCTGCAGGTGATCGCGTCGAACCGGGTTCTCCTTAAAACATCAGGCCATATAGACATATCCCATCCAAACTCAACCAACTGAGGCCTTCCGTGGATCACACGACTCTCGGATTGCCTTTCCGTTGTCCCTCCTCACTCTGACTGCAATGGCTGCTTCACCAGTATGCTATCGTCATCGTCATCGTTAGATGAAGTCTGACCCCTCACATCATCGCTGGGCACTTTCGCTTACCCGGCAGTTGAGAAGATCGTACGGAGTTATAGTCAATCTTTACAACCTCCTCCTATCTTAGTCTGCTTATCTTGCCATCATCTGGCCTGAGACGCTCCACTACAAGCTATGATGTCAACCTGACCAATCACTAGTTCGGCGTGCGTATGGCTCTATTTCTGCTCCAACGCCATAATAGTGTCTGCCAGTGCAGGCAATATTTTCTTCCTCCCTTCCTGTGGAGTCGTAATGCTAATGGAAATGGTGCCCCATAGTAGCCGTCCGCGTGGGCAAACCATCTTGGGCAACCAAATCAATCCCAGCTCCACAGATTACAATCTTTCCGGATGGTCTTTTCCTTGCAGACCGTGGGTAGTCATATTACTCACATTCATTCGCCTCGAATACAACTTCCTTGAATGGCTACAGGGCCGTGAGCAACATACGAAGGAGGAGGTTCCCGTGTGTTCGAGGCCAGCCTCACAGACTTCCGGTCCGCTGCGGTCCAGTGCCGTTGAAACGGATGGGTCGGTCCACCCGCCAAATGGAAACCTGCTAACACAATTCGATACGCTGGTTATACCCGGCAACTGGATTCCACTGACGGGTATTGTTTCCCCTTGGAAGTGGAATGGCTAATTTGGAGTAAAATCCCGTCACATCTGCGCCGACTCGGCCGGGCAAAAAAGGCCTGTTGTCCGAATATGGTTATCTGACCCTAGTCCACTAGACGCTACGCATCAGCACATTGAATGTTGATTGCTTTTGAGATGCAGGCGGCCGCCAAGAACCGTGTGGTAGTCCCTACCGTTAACTGCCCATCTTAAGTAAAGATCCATGGTCTTTATTCGCTGATCAGCAACGGTTCCGTTCGCTAGATCCAAACCTGAGATCTCAACAAAGAACGTCGGACTCCTTTCCATTTGCCTTCCATTAGGGGTCCGCCTCCAATCACTTCTTGCTCTGTCATCCCAGTCCACCTACTGTCCTTGGTCCTGGGCTAGGTAAAACGTAGGCGAAATCACGGGTTTGATCATCAGGCACATATTACAGGAGCGTCGGTACCGGAGAAAAGGGTCGCTACTCGCGTGCGCACTGACAGGTACGGTCACCGCTCTTTCTTATGTTGAATACTCGTGACTACAGATGAAAGCGCCGCTGTCGCCACGATCGGCATTTCTGAAACCACCGTTAGGCATGTTTTGCCATTGTCTTGATGGTCCGACTGATAGCAGGAGCGGAGTAGCAGTCGTACGTAGGGGTTATGTTACTATGGGTCTCCAATGCGTGGTTCCGAGTTCCGAGAGACTTGGATCTGAGCTTTTAGTAATGGCATCTATGGTATTCGAGGGTTAAGGAGAGCAACAGCAAGCAGTCACATAATCTATCTAAAATCGAGAGCGGAAGGGTGGGTAAAACGAGACATGAAGCTTCCACCCGAAAGTTCGTGAGGTCCTACCACAGCCTCCTCAACCACATGGTCCATGTGCTCAACCTTGACCTGCGTAGGCAGAAGTCTCATCCGCCGCCCTGTTCGGGGAGCCGGTAAGTAATGTCCATCTGGATATGGCAAAGGAGTATTCGCCAACCAAGTTGGCACAAACAAGGCCACACTAGACGGGATGGCGGCGAGGCGGTCCGGATCTCTGAGCCGACTTAGCGTCGGCAGTTGGGTTTGTTCATCGTCACCATGCTCAGGGGCAGGGCACTTTCTCAAATGTGGTGGCTCTTTACGGAGTAGTCCTCCGTTCTCTTCCGTATAACTAGCAGCATTACTTTCTCCATAAGTGGCTCGGCCTGGTCCCCAGCCGCATACGTCAACCGGGCAAATCTCCGCATTAGTATCCGCCCCCTAGCCTCGAAGGCAAAAAGCCGCTTCGAGTTCTTTATCCGAGTCCAATGGAGTTGACTCGAGCTCATGATTCGTCCAGGAGGTCTGTTAAACAGGCTTCTAGATAAATTAGGACTGGATTCCACCACTTAGTATAGAAGTGGGCATCGGGTCTCTGGGGAGGGGCATAGCTCCCCTGAAATATAATCACAGTCCCCATCTTGATTCGATGGGTGGTAGAGTATGAGAGGATGAAGGATTCACACCTAATCATCCAGGTGTTCGTCCACTTCAAGACACTATCGACCGTTGGAATCCACTGCGGCTGAGGTATGGAGTCCGGAGGAATAGTTAACTAAGGGAAAGCTGTAAGTCATTTAGTTGCTGTTGCCTGACGCGAACTCCTGGGGCGTGCCTGGGAAGGAGGTTGAAGTAAGTTCCTTGGCAGGGTGGTAAGCCGGCCACTCGTTCAAACTCCTGATCTCGTACCATGGTCCAATTGGGGAGATCTATGCGTCGTAATGATGAAGACGCAACTTGTTTCGGATTCCAGATTCAACTTGGATGCGCGGGGAGCAAAGTTCCAGCTTGGAAGGGGGCCACGTGATGGGGTGTCACCGGATCCGTCCCCGCCATGTTCTAGTTCTTCTACTTGCTCTTGGGCTTTTAACCTTTTCTTCCTCATTCCTTTCCTTCGCTTCTTACTTTCCTCGTCTTGGCTCGGCGCTATCCTCTGGTTATTGCCTTCCGGATCTGTAACCCTCTTCCTCTGGATGCTCGCCGGATCGAGCATCACACAATGACTTGCCACGTTGCTCGCGCGGAGATGTTACCCACCCCCAGAATAGTACGCAACAATAGACATCGAACAGCTCCATGCGGATGAAGGTGACGATGGTTGCTCATGACGATTTCACCGCAGGTCATGCGCACTGCATAGCAGTTGCATTGACCCCTGGCTACATGTAAGGCTGCTGCAGTTATTAGCTGGGTTATTGGTGAAGATGTTACACCGCGGCAGAGTCTCTCTACCTTGCCTCCCTTGGCCTACAGTGGCTGTAAATGCCCCAAAACGATGCAAATGCCGCATCTGTGCCTTGAGCACGAGTCTTGGCTGGGCCGTTCCTTCCTCAACCATGCGAATTGAGTGGTAGAGTCCTCCCATCCAAACCATAGATGGGTAAGGACCTAGCAAATCTTGACTGCGAGTGTCCGGCTCACTCTTATATCACCAGTGCTCAGTTCCTCTCCACCTTTCCACTGTTTATATTCTTCGAATTTATTGCCCTGTCAAAGTGACCTCACTAGCGCCTAAGTCCACGTATCCTGTATTTCCATGCAGCCGGCCTGAATCGATATCCAACACATCAATTAAGTCTTACTTCAGGGCTAAGTCTAGACAGCTTTCTGTTGTCATTGCGGTGCTGTAACATTGTCGACGACACGGGAAAGTAGAGACAACCTGTTCTCCACATTTTCTATTGTGGATCAATCTCCCTCAACCTTATCTACTATCCTTACGAGCACCGCTTTGCCGTGCATCTGCTTTCGGTGGGTCTCATTTCACGATCAAGTGCGGAGGTCGTGGTTGACTTGGAGATCGGCATCTGCAAACAGACTAGTTGATATTAAGATTTCTGCAGATCATTTGGTGATCCAGATCTAGGAGACGGCTTGTCGGTTGCTTGCGGTTGATTGACAGCCAGCGTGTTCAGCCTCCTCTACTTAAAGCAGGCGAATTCCATCCTATTCGGTGCTGGCTTCCCATAGACGGCGTTATCCTATCCCAGCCTTCTGATATTCTTCGCTGATTCTTCTTCGGAACTGTGTCTTCAATATGTTTGTGGAAGGTGTAAAGAAGGCGCTTTTGGCGTTGTCTCTTTTGGCTGCTAGTGCACAAGCTGTGCCGCGAGTGTGAGTTGTGCCGGATATGTCCAGCTTCTCCCTTCTGTTTGTGGTCGTTGACTTACTGTTGAGTATAGGCGCCGGCAAAACAATGCAAGCTCTTTCGATTACAAGAGTCAGATAGTCCGAGGTGTCAATCTAGGTGGCTGGCTGGTGACCGAGCCATGGATTACACCTTCACTTTATGACAGTACAGGGGGTGGTGCGGTAGATGAATGGACGCTGTGTCAGATACTAGGCCAGGACGAAGCCAAGGTCAAATTGTCGTCTCACTGGAGCTCGTTCGTCACGCAAAGTGATTTTGACCGTATGGCTCAGGCAGGACTGAATCATGTCCGCATCCCTATTGGATACTGGGCCGTTGCTCCCATTGATGGTGAGCCATATGTCAGCGGTCAGATCGACTATCTCGACCAGGCGGTCACCTGGGCTAGAGCTGCTGGTCTCAAGGTTATCGTTGATCTGCATGGTGGTAAGTTATAAGATTTCCATGCGCAATAACATTTTTGGGTTTCTGACAGAAACATAGCGCCGGGCTCTCAGAATGGTTTTGACAATAGTGGACACCGAGGCCCCATCCAATGGCAGCAAGGAGACACGGTCAACCAGACAATGACCGCATTTGACGCCCTTGCAAGGCGTTACGCTCAGTCCGATACCGTCACAGCGATCGAGGCCATCAACGAACCCAACATTCCTGGTGGCGTAAACGAGGGTGGCCTCCAGAACTACTATTACGGTACTTTGGCCGATGTCCAGCGTCTTAACCCTTCTACTACTTTGTTCATGTCGGACGGCTTCCAGCCTGTGGAATCCTGGAACGGCTTTATGCAAGGTAGCAACGTTGCCATGGATACGCATCACTATCAGGTTTTTGACACCGGTTTGCTTTCTATGAGCATCGATGACCATGTCAAAACGGCGTGTTCTCTCGCCACACAGCACACGATGCAATCAGATAAGCCTGTCGTCGTGGGTGAATGGACCGGTGCTCTGACTGACTGTGCCAAATATCTCAACGGCGTCGGTAATGCCGCTCGCTACGATGGCACATACATGTCCACCACCAAGTACGGTGACTGCACGGGCAAGAGCACGGGTTCCGTAGCTGATTTCTCAGCCGAAGAGAAAGCGAACACCCGTCGTTACATTGAGGCTCAGCTGGAGGCTTACGAGATGAAGAGCGGATGGCTCTTCTGGACCTGGAAGACCGAGGGTGCCCCAGGATGGGACTTGCAAGACCTTCTGGCTAACCAACTCTTCCCTACCTCGCCTACTGATAGACAATACCCCCACCAGTGTTCTTGAACGGTCAACTTTGTGTTTGAACGTTTGGATATTGTTCCAAGATATCCTTGGTCATTCTTTCATATTCGTCGTGATTCATATTTGGGGCTTAACCCGTCTGGTACTGTCGTTTATTGAGTCTTGCTTGCATGCCTTATTATTAGTATTACCTTTTTCTCTACACTACTTAGTAAACTCAGACTCGCATGGTAATTTCATTGCTCAGCTCTAAAGTCAGAGCTACTATCTATGTAAGGGGTATTCAACTATGTAGAGTATGCTATCCCATAAAGATGCAAGTTACTGTCCAGTAGACGATATGACACACGGGCGAACACAGATGTCAAGTCACCACTCTCCCTTCCTACCAACCACAAACCTCAAACCTATATCACTCCCCCATTCGCAAATCTACAACAGCCCCAAAGCTCCAAACGACGCAACCACCTCCCGATCAACATTTAGCAACCACTCCTCCTGGAACCTCTGCTCACCACCACACCCGACAATCAATGAATGCAATCTCTCCCGAATAAAGTCCCTAATATTGACCTTATGCAGCACATCCTCGTTATCCCATTCCCTACGCCGCACATTCTCCGGCGGCTCATGCTCATCAACAGCCCCCGTCTGGGCATTATTCCAATAGATCAAGTAATCACTACCTCCGCGGGGGTCGTCAGTATTAGGCCCACTACCATCGTCTGCGCCTTCGGCGAGTTCAGTGACGATGTCGGTCCACATGGTTAGATAGGACTGGAGGTTATTGAGAAGATAAGACGGAGGCTGAGAGTCCGGTCCGTTGATGGTAAGGAGTTGGGTGAGGGCCAGAGCGTGGAGTTTCTTTTGGGTGGAGCTGCCGATGTTGTCGTAGTGGAGGAACCATTCTGTGAGGAGCCATGAGAGGACGGTTTCCTCGGGACTGTTGGTGGCGGCGGAGACGGCGGACGTGAAGATCTTGGGATAGGCGAGGGCGAGACGTGCCAGGACGGAGAAGTAGTCTGTTTCGACGACGCCATAGACGGAGGTTTGTTTGCGGTTCGGGCCGGTGGTTTGGCTTGCTTCGTGGGCGGAGTGGAGACCTTCGAGCAGGGCTGGGAGGAAAGAGCTGTCGAGGAGGGAGCGTGTGATGATGCTGTAGGTGGTTTCGCTGCCATTATCGACGGTGTTGGCGCCGCGGAGGAGGAGTTCGACGAGGCGGGGGACCACGCCGAGGCGTTGCTTGGTGGTGAGTTTTAAGAGGGTTTCGAAGGAGACGAGGAGGGGGAAGCGGATGCGGTCGCTGAGGATTTCTTGTGGGGCGAGCAGGATGTAGGATTCGGCGATTTGGAGGGCCTGGGGGACGCTGTCGGTCGCGGCTTCGAAGATGGGGAAGAGGGCTGGGATCAGCGAGAGGATTTCGGGGGAGGCGGGGGCCGGCGTTTGCATTAGGATGGCGGACCAGAGGTCGAGGGCTTCGTCAAGGAGGTAGATGAGGGTTTCCTGGGGTGTGGCGGTTAGATGGGTTGGGTGAGGGATGGATTGAAGGGGGGAGGGGGAATGCTTACAGAGCCTGGTTCCACGGAGTTCTGGATGAGAGGCAGAATCAGGGAGTGGTATCTGACGGATTCCTGCTTGAGGGAGTGGATCAGGGATGAAAGCAGCGTTAGGATGGCTTGCTTCATCAGATGCTCCTCGCCGGAGCTCTCCCATAGGGGGGGCAGTAAGGACAAGATTTGGTCCGAGAAGGGTGCGATCTACTCAGTTGTTAGAGACGTGGAGCAGGTAGGGTGAGGATGGCACTTACGTGGTCTTCCATCTTCACGACCGCCATTCGGACTGTGTCGAGAAGTCCCATCTTGGTCTCTGAAAGCTCGACTTCTTGGACAAGAGACATTAGGTCTTGCAGGATGGCCGGTGCATACGGCAGGAACTCAGTAGGGGAGAACTCGAAGGGGTCGAGCACGTTCTTGAGCTGCCGTCCGGCGGTAATGCGGACCACCAGGTCGTTCAACGGATCTTGCTTGCTGAGAAGATGCTGGAAGATCTGGTAGATGGCGTTCCTGTTGAGCTCACTGGACTTTACGGGGACCCACTGGCCCAAGACGATGGCGATACGTCTCCGGAGGACATTGTATCCCTGCTCCTGGATTTGGACTTCGGGCACAAGTGTCGTCTCAAGGAACTTGTTGAAGTCCAAATGTTGCTCCAGACTGGCTGCAGACAGGCCAATGGCGGCGTACAAGGAATCCTTCAACAGGACGTCGTGATTATCAGGGCCTATTGAGATCGTTAGTGATATGCTTCTGGAACGGCTCGGTGGAGGTTGCTTACTTGCGAAGTTGTAGAAGACGGTCAAAAGACGCGGAATGAGCAACTCCTTGAAATGGATGACGAGGTCAAGGAAGAGCTTCTCGGAGCACGACCGGATGGAGAATTCCCAGGCCTCGGCAATATCCTCCTCCTTCCTCTCCCATTCTTCAGGATCTTCCTCCCACTCCTGAAAGTCGTTCTTCCTGAACCGGAAGAACTGGGTGACGAGAAGCTCCATGACGTTGACGACGAAATCATGGGTAAACAGCTGGGCCTTGATGAGTTCCACGGACTGTTTCTTCTCCTCCTTGTCTTGCGGTGTCTGGTACTTGAATGTCTGCGCCGGGTTGAAGGCCATCTTGGAGCAAGCCCTGATCAGAAGGAGAGCCCTGAGGCCAGTCTTCTCCATCAGGGACTTTCCCTCTGGCTCACCATCCCCGCCCAATTGACTGTAGTTTTCTCCCAACTTGACTACTAGGGTCCAGTAGGACTGGACAAGCGGTATACTGTCCGGGAGCAACGCGAAAGATGCCGGGCGATCCTTGGCCATTTCGACGTGAAGCTTGGAAAGTTGCAACAAGTGTTTCTCGACTGCCCTATGAATTGGCTCCGACATTGTGGCGGGGCCATTGATAAATCCCAGGAATCTACTGAAGTGGCTATGGGTCAGGACCCAGAAGTCACAGACATCCTTATCGCGATTGGGGTGTTCATATCCGGCGATAACGAGACGTCGGATGACCTTAAGAGAGACCAAGCTTTGCTCGATCACCTCTAGCAACGATGCCTCATCAAAGCCCCCTTGTTCCAGGTTGATAGCCCAGTTGTTCACCTTGTCCACGTATATGCTCCCCAACAGATGGAAAATTTCTGGAGAAACAGACTGTAGATTCGCGCGGGTTCTCTGCAGACGGGCCGTTGACAATTCTTTGATGATTTGTAGGAGGATGGTAAGGGTCCGGGGCAATTGCAACGGGTTCGCGCCAGGCTGGGTAGACGAGCGGAGGAGGGCAATGAGTGAGGTGATAGCATCCGGCCTAGACATGATCAATAACAATGCAAGGTAAATTCCCAGCGCGTCCGCACTCACCAGTCCTGAGGAAATTCATAGCGCATGATCTTAGCGATCATCAACGCATTGTGAAGAGCCAGAAGAGGAGCCGGCTCGACGACACCCGCTTGTAAGGCCCTAGTCTTTATGCGTTCTTTTTCTTCCTTTTTGATGGCACTTGAGGAGGTCAGTCTGTTGTTGCACAACGTATCGATCCGAGGGGGTGGGTAAAAACGCGCATACTTTGTCGCAGTCTTTCGCCAATACTTGTCGATGCCGTTCTTCAACTGGATGATGGAGAGGTAGCGAACTTCAGGGGGAACAGAATGGTCCAGAAATACATCCTGCACTGCGTGAGCATAGAGTGGTAGAGAAAAGCACAAGGTGGAGGGAAGCTGAGGTATATACCTGAAGCGAAGTATAGTAACCCTCCTGCTTCTCCCAATTCTGGAGTTGCTGGGTGCCCGATTGCACCTGTTGCTGAGTTGAGCTAGCTGCAAGAACCAGTGCATTGAGAACATTATGCGGGGTCAGGGGGTTGGCCTCCCCAGCCAACTCGACGATGGGGGCCATTGTATGGGATGTATGATTGTCGGCAGCTTGAAGCTGTCAAGGAGGGGGGATGTATCTACTACTACAAAGTAGTAGTTCGGAAGGTAATTGGATCCAAACCGAAGAACGGCCAGAACAGGGCCTCTGACCACTTGATATATAGATGGAACAGAGATATAGGCTTGGTTCCTCAAATCCCGGCTGTCGACACGAAATCGGATCCTTTGACGGGGAAGGGAGCAAAGCAACAATGAAGGCCAAGGCAAGCTTCGCCGCCAGTCATCGGGCTTCACGGATTCTCTCCTTCGGGTTTCCCCGCCGAGGGACCGTCCGGGTCATGGTTGTTCCTTTCCGAAAAACCCTAGGGCCGGACCCTGGCAGCTAGTCCCGATTGGACATGACTACTTAGGGCTGAGTTCAAGGGTAGAGCCTGAGGTTTGATGTAACGGGGGTGATGATATCATATCCCAACTGGCCACCTCTTTGGGTTGGGTGTCGAGACCAGGTTCCAGCAGTAAGAAATGGGGTTCGACTGGAAACTCCTGCTCTACTCGTTACATATCTATGATGTAGGATGATGCAATACTCATAGTGTCCCTGACGAGGAAGACATTGAAGATGGCACATATATAGTTCGGACTATTTGTTGCTACTTACTCTGTAGCATTCACCATCAAGGAAACTCTATCAAGTCTCTTGTTAAGCACTCAAAAACAAACTCTACTATCACTACCACAATGAACGACTACGACAAGGTTCGCATTGCTTACGATGCCGAAAAGGACCTCAACTCCTACCAGGCCAAGCAGGGCCTTGGTCCTAAGAGCGATTCCAGTATGTCTATCGTCTAGAGATCACACACCACTTTTTGCGACAACCATGTACTGAACAATTGCAGCCCTTGAGTCTGGAGTGAACGAGATGGTGGACAGGAAGTTCGAGACGGGCATTCGTACTGGCAGAGAAGCAGGCGCTTCCGGCAGCGACCGCAAGCCCATCCCAGAAGATGAGGGAGGCAGTCGTGATGATCGTGGCCGGTGAGTTTTCTGTCACCCACACAAGCGATCCATCAATAATGGTTGTACTAATATGACTTGTCTTTCCAGACTCGCAAAGGCTGGTCAATTCAACGGCCCTGGTGGCCCTGAGGACAAGGTGAAGTTGGAGTCTGAGCGTCGCCCTGGTGATCAAGATACTCTGGGTATCCAAGATTTGAAGCGTGAGGGACTGGCTCCATAAGCACGCTATGTATGATATAATGAGTCCTTATGAGAGATTAAAAGCAACTTGGAATGCCTTGTTTAGCCTTGTTTTTCCAGATGATCAATAGTAGTATTGTCCGAATTGACCGGGAATGGCGTTTTCGTACCAGGATGTAGAGAAAAGTTACCTGGGAAATCGTATGCCACCTCGACAACGGTAGAGCTTGATTGCCCAATTCTCCAGATACATAGCATTAGTTCACGTGAAGTTCCTTGAGACGCAGTTTGCTTCCATGCTATATGTGTAGATGACCTGCTTTCAGAGCCCTGTACGCGTCAACAGCCAAGCTAACTTGGTTAAATTTGGTATTGGAATGAGTAAACTCTACTGCCAGCATGGCTGTGACATGCATATAATGAATGATTTTTCGAACATACTAAACTCATTGTGTTAGATTCTGCTAGGGTGTAATTGTGCTTCCCTAGTCGACACCATCACTTCATGATGATTGATGATACCCAGACTCCAATCGAGACGCGGCTTTTCATCAACGGCGAGGTAGGGTCGATATCCTGCAAATTGTCTTTTCTGTACTCATTGCAGTTTCAAATTATAGTTTCGACCCTCGTCAGATGACAAAACTTTTCCTGTGATCAATCCCTTTACTCAAGAGCTAGCTGCGGATGGTATGTTAGCAAGGCTATATCAAAGTCCAGTAGAACTTACATACTGTTAGTCCACGAAGCCAGTAAAGCCGATGTGAATGATGCAGTTGCAGGAGCGAAAGCCGCATTCCCAGCGTGGAGAAATCTCTCACCTACCCAGAGAGGCAAATACTTCCATAAACTAGCCTCCCTCATCCGTGAGCACGAACAAGAGTTCGCCCGCTTAGAGGCATTGTCTTCTGGGAAGCCAGTGTCCCGATACATCGATGCGAGCGTGGCAGCTGATGCATTCTCCTACTTTGCTGAAGCGGGCTGGACCGTCCAAGGGTCGTCTAGCTGGAACACCCCCGGCCAGCTCAACATAACATCTAAGGAGCCATATGGTGTGGTGGCTGCTATTATACCTTGGAATGTCCCGTTCGCCTTCTTCGGCATCAAGATTGCTCCTGCGTTGGCAGCCGGGAACACCATAGTCTTGAAAAGCAGCGAGAAAGCGCCCCTTACAGTAAGTCAATCTCATAGACTATCTCAAGACCCCTTTCATTAGCAGAATTAACACTTAGCAGTGTGCTTTTGGAGCAAAACTAATCGCTGAGGCCGGCTTCCCACCGGGTGTGGTCAATGTGCTTTCAGGCTATGGTCCAACCACCGGTGCTATTCTAGCCTCACACATGGAAGTGCGCTGTCTCAGCTTCACAGGCTCAACATTGACGGGGAGAAAGATCCAGTCATATGCTGCTTTGTCCAATATGAAGACAGTGCATGCGGAGTTGGGAGGCAAGACACCCGCCATTATCTTCGCCGATGCAGACCTTGAATCTGCTGCAGCACAGACTTCATTCAGTATTCAGATCTTTAGTGGACAGACTTGCAATGCTAACTCGCGTATCTACGTGCACGAGTCTGTGGCAGACAAGTTCCTGAGTTTATTTAAAAGCATGTTCGGAGCTGCGGTTCTGGGAAATCCTCTAGACAAGGAAACTACCCTGGGTCCACAGGTCGATCAGGTCCAGTATGAGCGAGTCAAATCATACTTGCTCGTAGGCGAGAAGGAGGGTGAACTGACACTCGGAGGTGATGCCAAGAATGGGTATTTTATCAAGCCAACGGTGTTCGAAAATGCTCCAGAGGATGCGCAGATTATGAAAGAGGAGATCTTCGGGCCCGTAGTTGTCATCAACACATTCCGGACGGAGGAAGAGGTACTCGCCAAAGCCAATGATAGTGAATACGGCTTGTATGCGGCTGTCTTCACGAGGGATATTGACCGGGCTGTGCGAGTGTCGAAGCTGCTGGAGGCCGGTACTGTCGGTGTGAATTGCACGAGTCCTTGTATGCCGAAAGATATGCCCTTCGGTGGCTTTAAGGGGAGTGGAATGGGCCGTGAGAGCTTTCTGCATAGCATGGATGGTTATCTTGAGACCAAAGCTATCTTGATCCAGGCTGGATCTTGATAGCTGGTGGATAGATAGCATGTTGTTTACTTCAACTTAGGGTTGGCGTTGCCGTTGCGCGTAATAAGTTGTACTAGCTGCACAAACTCTACTCAGAACAAATTGACTACCTCAATGACATAGTGCGCAGTCACATATCTTGTAAGCATCTACGAACACCGGCTTCTTCTGTAGGAAGGCAAATATCAAGAGTTGTTGAACGATTCAGTGCCGTTCGGCATTAGGGAAACTCTGAATTCCCATCTCGTGAGTGTCATTAACATTCGTAAAATACATAAGAGCCGCCTTTCTCCATGATTCTGTCCCACTTAATATCGCCTATGCCCCAGTTATATTTGTAAATGCAACTGGCGCTTTACAGTTAAGCCCAAGCTCAAGTGCAGATCACCCCCACAAAATTGAGCATCAGTCCCATGACGAGACCGGACAGACCAGTGCTGGGCGACACAAGCGAGATACCAGCGTTGGTGGAAGGACTAGGGGATGAGGAAGAAGAGGTGGAGTTAGAGCTGGAGGTAGTCGACTTCTTGGTCGCTGTGACATTAACGTTGTAACCGGATTTGGTGTCATAAGGGTAGGGGCTCGTGTAGTTGTAGGTAGGTTGAGTGTTGGCGTAGGTCTCCTTTACAATGTCCAGGATGCCATGACCGGCGGAGCAGGTGGCGTTGGTCAAGGGGTTGGGCCACACGGAAGAGTACTTGGAGTATATGCCGGCAGACAACGGGCCAGGATAGGTCTCGTTGACATGCAAGTTGGTGGTGTCAACGTTATAATTGACATAGCCAGTCTTATTCGCAACGATCTCCAAGATGTTAGCACCGCAGTCCCAGCGTCCAAGAGAAGGTAAGCCCCAGTTCGCGGAGAGGGAAGCGATGACAGAGTAATGGGTGTAGAAGGTATCATCCGTGGTACCCTTCAGGTGATCAGGAATGACACCACCCACTAAAATGCTGAAAATCTTGTTGTGCTTAGCGTAAGTCTCGTCCTCGTCAAAAGTCAAGAGGAGCAGAGTGTCATTCATGAAGTAGGAGTTGTTGAGCAAGGGAGTAACCCAGGTGCGCTCCCACTTCGCACCAAATGTGATGTTGGTGTCGTGCGCATCATTAGTCATGTTGGGAGTAACGAAGCCGTACTGAGGAAGCTTGTGGCTGGCCAAGTCGTCCTCAAAGCTGGTAAAGTTCTTAATCTGGCGCAAACGAGTACTGTTCTCGGCGACGGAGTTGAACAGGACGAGAGGGTTGTGCTTACGCACATAGTCGGGGTCGTAAGTCTTCTGGTTGGAGTAGTTGAATCCCTGGAACCCGGGGTAGGGCTGGTGCTCCTGGTACTCTCCCCAAGAAATGCCTTTGGTGTCAAACAAATCGGCAATGGTCGACACGTTGGCGGGAATCTGATTAAAATCATCGTTGTCCATGCCGAAGGTGTCGCCAGCGGCGGAGGCGCAGTAGTTCGGCTCAGAAGGATGAGTGACGGCGTGGAAGTTGGTGCTATGAAGCGTTCAATATTTGCCTCTGGTCTGGTTGGTCTGATTTACTGGATCTAATACTTACAGTGTGATACCCTGGGAGGCAAGCCACTTCATATTATCGTCGGCGGCCGCATCCGTATAGTCCTGAATGAGATGGCAAGTCAGAAGAGTACACCCAGGCGTGATAGAAAGTAAAGTCTGGCACATACGATGTTCTCAAGCCAAATCTGAAAGAAGCGGTTGAAGGCAAGACCCTGAACGTTCGACACCGGCGAGTACGGCTTGATGGTGGCAGCATCCTTCTCAATTGAAGACAGGGAAGGCTCCGACACGTTGGTAACCTGGGCATATGCCACCGAGGCTGCCGCCAACAGAAACGCGACAGTAGTCTTCATCGTGAGATGACTTTCTCTGACGGTAGTAAGCTGGCAATCGTCAGGTGAGAAGCGACAGATGAGGAAGATGATCAGCAGTCAACTATGAGAGAGAAACTTCCAGTGAGGAATGAACGGGTTGCGGCTTCTTATACTGCCAGGGGAGAGGAGAAGAGCGGGCGTTGGTACTACAACTAGAATAGCAGGCAGCAAGGTGAGCAGCAGCACGCGAGGCCAGGTGACCTTTCCATGGGCTGATGGCGCAAACGACTCGGTACCCTGACAGTGAAAGGCGTATCCACCCAGGTACACGATAAGGCGTCACCAAGCGACTACAGAGTGAGGGTTGAGAGAAGCACGCGGCCAAGGCGGATGTTCCTATTCGATGACAGTCCGCCCTTTCTTGGCTCTGACTGGGAATAACTACTGGATAGTGAATGACCGTCGACAGCAGGATTGTTCCTAATCCAAGGCCAAGACCAAGACCAAGACCAAGACCAAGGTGCCATTGTCCGATATTGTTGGGAGTGTGGTACGCCAAAACCTTAGCAAGTGGGGAGGTGGAATCGAGATCCGTCCGAATGCCGGCATACCACTTTTTCATTCATGTGCGGAGACTGGGGGGAAGGTAATACAACACTCAGTGGAGGCAGTAAAAATTGCTCGACTAGCTATGGAATGCGAGATTATGGTATAGCAGATATCTCCGGCCAGGGATCTTAGCTCCGCAAGCACTAAGGCTTCCCAGCGGCTTGGCACCGCAACCCCAAGCGGGGCGCCAGAGGCAGTCGAGGGCCGCACGTGCACCGCTGGCTGGCTCTATTTAGTCCGGGGAGCCGAACACCCTGCAGCGTGGTCAAGGGCACTGGTCAGGGAGTTTTTCGGCCCTGGATCGGAGGCTAACCAACCAGGGCGGATCGAATGTCAGTATGCTCGACCCTCGTGCAGCAGATGGAACATTACTAGTCCCCTTCGGAGGATTTCACCAGCAGGAGTTCCATGTCGGTTGGAACCGACACAACATCATTTCAGGGCGCCGGGGATTGTGGTCGCATGCCACCTTGCTCATGCTTGGCACATATTGTTCCCACTCATGGCTGCACCGATCTCTGCTCTTGGTTTTCGACTGGCATCCCATTGCTGACATCGATAGCAAGTAGGGTAGGGTTGCATTCAATTCATTCACAAATTGTGAGACTGCAGGCTGGTCGGCTTGTGTGATGGGCTCAAAGGTGAGGGGTAGACTCATGTCTATCATGTAGTCGAGTGATATGCTACCTTTCCTGGCACATGGCATATTAATCACAGTGGAGCCGGCAAGCAGGCGGGAAATTAAGAAGATGAAGATGGACACTCCCTATCTTGCTCTATTGCTATCGCCATGTGACCAAGCGCATGCTCTTCGGTAGGACGGCATGCATTGATATGCATTTTCTATTCGACCAACATAGGAAGTATTATATTGCTCAGAGGCATTGGCAATTGTCCTCAAGATCCTGCTAGTAGCAACTGTCTGTCGACCACTTCTTGTATGCACATATCCAGTAAAAAGATAATTCCATAGTTAGTTAGAAGGGCTTATCATCGGTCAAGTCACGTGTTGTTATCTCAACCTCGGCTGTTTCTCTTCCGAACGGACAACCGACTGAGCTGGAGCCGTTAACGAACCTACTATGATTGCCAGCACTGCGACTTCGAGGTTGTCGCCTTGACCTTCAACAACCTTCTCCTAGCGCCCTTATCGACCCTTCAGATTTGATATCCCGACAATGATTCAACGATGAGTTCTACAAATTTTGCCGCTGCCCAGGAAAGGGTTCTGGAACGTCGTCGTCTCCGCGAAGCGGAAGCTCGCGCCAGGCTGGCGGAGCAGCAGCGGACGTCGCCGCTCAATCATCCCACTCTTCAGCGACTCCCTTATCCCCTGAATAAACTACCCCAGTCGGGTTTCTCGTTATGGAATACTATTAGAGGTAGAGAAGGTATCAGGCCTGCGTACCGCGTCGGCCAGGTCGACGCCGAACTGTTAGATGAAGAATTACTGGGACTGTTGAAAGGACAGGTGGGGGACGCATTGAAATATTACGGGGTTAGTCGAGGTCCAGATAGGAGATTGGGCGGTATTTGGTGGATAAAGCTAACTTCAATCTGTATCAGCCTCAACTACGTGAAGATTGGTCTCACGAAATTCAATTCGCCCTCCGTGCTATCCTTTTCAAGCTCTCAATATGGGACCACGATGCCTCCTATGGCGCAGCGTTGCAGAACCTAAAATACATCGATAGTCGCAGCAAAGGACCCGTGCATTCGGCACCAACAAAGTGGCAGAAATCCCTCTATGGTCTGCTTACAGTCGGTGGCCGCTACGCTTGGGGGAAATGGGAAAGCTGGCTGATTAACCAAGAGAGTGGGTACGAGGAGGTAAGAATCTAAGTCTATCGGATCCTTGTGCATGGCACTCACAATTGCAGCCGTCCCAGGAAGTACGCATGCTCGCCCGCATGACAGACCTCGTTTCCGCCTCTCACTCGATCGCCGCCTTCGTCTCCTTTCTTGTTTTCTTGGTGAATGGCCGATATCGGACCCTGGTCGACCGCGTGCTTCGTATGCGCTTGATTCCACCTTCCGCGCAGGCGAGTCGTGAGGTGTCATTTGAATATCTTAATCGTCAACTTGTGTGGCACGCGATGACGGAGTTTCTCCTCTTCCTCTTGCCGCTCGTGGGTATTAGCCGGTGGCGCCGGTGGCTCTCCAGGCTGTGGCGCAAGACGCTATCCACTCCCAAGTCCGGCAGCGAGGACGAAGAACAGACCGGGAAGCAGGGTGAATTGTCTTTCCTTCCGGAGAGAACCTGCGCGATATGCTACAAAGACAACAACCCCACGTCTACGACGGAGGGTGAAGCAATAGCCGCGTCAGCCTCGTCGGGAGGCATCGTCGGGTCAGCCCAGACGGATATAACGAACCCCTACGAAACTATACCCTGCGGTTGTATATACTGTTTTGTTTGCATTGTGCAGAAGCTCGAAGGGGAAGAGGGAGAAGGCTGGGTCTGTCTACGCTGTGGCGAGATTGTGAAGAAATGCAAACCTTGGAATGGCGATGTACTGGAAGAAACACGACCCCAGTCAAGCTCGGGAAAGATGGTAGGGTTTGCAGTTGATGGCGATGACAGCACTGCAAACGAGCTGGGGGCGGAGGATAGCACTGGGAAATCAAGCCCATTGGAGGAGGTTACGTCGGATGAGGCGCTTCACCACTCAAGCCAATGGTCGACCATCGACAAGGATGCACTGGGAGAGGTACATGATGAGGAGGCAGAGACGGACGGCTCAGTACAGTAGAGATCCGGCGTCCTATTTTGATGTTACTGGAGGATAGCATTGCAGAGTTCTGGCACATTGCCAGTCTACAGTCCTCGGTGTCATGCATGGATGATGATGACAGCTATTATTTGGAGTTGGCTTTTGAATGGAAGATACCCAGCAGCGTATGCTCCTCTCTAACCTCTTTTGTGCTCGCAATTAGTGCAGTGATAGTCGAGATATGATGCAGTAATTAAGTACTAATCTCGCACTGTACTGGGAATGACGGCAGGCCCACTCTTTACAAGCGGAACCCCACCCAAGCTGCCCGACTGCTCGAATCACAACCAGCGGTTCCTCCGAGCATCAAATGCAGCTAATCACATCGAGGATGATTATACCGCGGATCGTGTCTTCCCCGCAACGGACAGCTCGCCGATTGAACCGGGGCACTCGCTCGCCGTACCTCCGAGTCTCCAGGCGAACGAGGGGGCTTTTGGGACTGCAGACCGCACACATACAACAAGGAGTTCGGTATAGCCTCTCATCACCCCTCATCCTCCATCCCCTCCATATATGGCCCATTGGCCAGTGCAGCTGTTCAATACCTTCTGTCCACTTCACTAGCCCTATTCTCTCTCTTACCCTTCCTGACTCTGCACAATGGACCCCGCCAAACCTGCCGTGTCATCCACCTTGGGCGAGGCCAAGTACCTCGAATTTCCCTGCGTACCAGCGGGCACCAAGCACGAAGACGGTACCCCTGTCTTGAACCGTTGGTCTTCTACTATCACCAGAGGCCATGAGTTCCCTGGAGCGAAGGTTGGTAATCAGTGTTTCTTGCATATTCCTCTCCCTGCAGATTCTGGACGAGTGCTGACCTCATGCGAACTGGACAGGCTATGCTCTACGCGGCAGGCATTCCCGATCACAATGCCATGACGAGGAGTCCCCAGGTTGGAGTTGCATCTGTGTGGTGGGAAGGCAATCCTTGCAATATGCACCTGTTGGACCTGGCCAAGACGGTGAAAAAGGCGATCACGGACCAAGGCATGATTGGATGGCAGTACAATACCATTGGTGTGTCGGATGCGATTGGCATGGGTAGTGAAGGTTGGTGCTGAATGAATGCCAATACGCTGGCCGTGTCTAACCGGATGTTAGGTATGCGGTTTTCTCTCCAGACCCGTGAAATCATTGCAGACAGCGTTGAGTCTGTAACATGCGCTCAATACCATGACGCCTGCATTGCCATCCCCGGATGCGACAAGAACATGCCTGGTGTGGTGATGGGTATGGCGAGACACAATCGGCCCTCGATCATGCTCTACGGTGGTACTATCGAAGTTGGATATTCCCAGCTTCTTCGGAAGCGTGTAAGCGTTTCGACATGCTTCGAAGCTGCTGGTGCCTATACATATAACACTCTCCGTCAACCGGATGATGGAGGTGATACTAGCAAGAGCAAGGATGAGATTATGGATGATCTGGAGAGGCATGCCTGCCCGAGCGCGGGAGCATGTGGTGGTATGTTCACGGCCAACACCATGGCTACAGCAATTGAGTCCATGGGTCTCTCCTTGCCCGGCTCGTCTTCTACCCCTGCATCCTCCCCAACCAAGATGCGTGAGTGTGTCAAGGCAGCCGAAGCCATCAAGGTTTGCATGGAAAAGGACATCCGTCCTCGGGACTTGTTGACCAAGCGGTCTTTCGAGAATGCCCTGGTCATGACTATGGCCCTGGGAGGAAGCACCAATGGTGTGCTCCACTTCCTGGCTATGGCCCGCACTGCCGGCGTGGACCTTACTCTAGACGATGTCCAGCGGGTCAGCAACAAGATCCCTTTCATTGCAGACCTGTCTCCTAGTGGAAAGTACTACATGGCGGACCTCTACGAAGTCGGAGGCATCCCGTCGGTCCAGAAGTTGTTGATCGCAGCTGGTCTGCTTGATGGCGATATTCCCACTGTGACCGGCAAGACTCTGGCCCAGAACGTAGCATCACACCCATCGTTGTCTGCTGACCAGGTCATCATCCGCCCCCTGGACAACCCTATCAAGGCGACGGGCCACCTTCAGATCCTGCGAGGTAACCTTGCACCCGGCGGTGCGGTTGCTAAGATTACCGGCAAGGAAGGGCTCCGGTTCACGGGTAAGGCGCGCGTGTTTGACAAGGAGCATCAGCTCAACGAGGCCCTGAACCAGGGCAAGATCCCTCACGGCGAGAACCTGGTCATTGTTGTTCGTTACGAGGGCCCTAAGGGTGGCCCGGGAATGCCGGAACAGCTCAAGGCTAGTGCAGCGCTCATGGGAGCCAAGCTCACCAACGTGGCACTGATTACGGACGGTCGATACTCTGGCGCTAGTCACGGATTCATTGTGGGGCATATTGTCCCTGAAGCTGCCGTAGGAGGTCCCATTGCCGTTGTTCGAGACGGCGATGTGATCACTATTGATGCCGAATCAAATGCCATCACTATGGATGTATCGGATGAGGAGGTGCAGCAGCGTCTGCGGGAGTGGAAGCCCCCAGCACCGCATGTCACACGAGGTGTGCTGGCCAAATATGCCCGGTTGGTGGGAGATGCCTCGAACGGAGCCATGACGGATCTATTTTAGGTGGATTGGTATGAATTTGGCTCAGTTCCCAGTTTCTCAATGAACTTATTTGTTTATTTCAAGATGTATCCATACTATAACCCAACTTGGCTGTGGAGAATGTCTCCAATGACGCAGCTGTCCTGTCATGGTAGTACTCTGGAATAGTTTGATACTATGTACACATCAGGAATCAAAATACAGAATGACAACAAAGGACAGTTAGTAGAGATGCTCTGACCTTCTAGTATCATATTCAGTTATACAAGTCTCCTATCGAATTTGTAGAAGATGGTCTCGTGTTTGGAGCGGCGAGAACTCCGGCATCCGAAAGACCCCAAAGGGACTAGCGCGGGATGAGTCATCCAGGAAGCTGCAGCGTGACGCCATGAGTGGATGTGAATCACCGCCGGCAAATTTGCGACAAACCAAAGTATCGCAGATCCTCCACGGTCTTGCCTCCGACCCTCTGACAGGCCTGTTGTTTGTCGCCGCTCCCTGTCGTTATCCGCCACCATTTCTGCTTCTCTTCCGGATTCCGCTCCGCGATCCAGCCCGCCTGCAGTTACTCCAGTTAAGGTTTGCGTTCCTCAGTCGCAAAGTGTGGTTGCGATTTTCTATTGCTGGTGCTGCACAAAGCTAGGTATGAGTGTGCCCACCGCTGTTAAACTCCGCCCACCATTCACTCTGAAAGTTGACGCTGTACTCTCATGAGTCCCCTGTACGACTGGTTTTTGGGTGGCTTTGGGATCATAGCTGACCTGCCTCACAGTTCTTTTGCGACGTCAGGCGCATCATCCTCCGCATCACTCTGCCGCCGACTGGAATCTCCGCGCAAAACGCTCCATGTGACCCGGAGGTTACTTGGGTCAACCAACAATTGAGATATCGTCGTCATTCGATTGGAATCAATCCTTAAGACAAATTGGGCCGTCGTCCTCCTTGCTTTGGTTCAAATAAAGACCTGGTGGATCTGTCAGATTGTCCGGAACGCCTAGGCGCAGCCAGCAGACCAACGTGACGGATACCCAGCAATCATTGGTCCAAACTATCCCGGGGCGCAGTTAAAGTCGTGCCTAAGAACAAGCTCTCCTTACCTCAAAATAGTCTACTTCAAACTCGTTTCCTCATAGCGCGCTATCGTTGGGCTTCCCGGCTGCTGAGTGTTTCGATCGACCCGCTCCGTTGCCTCACTATCGATCCCGGAGACTCTCCTGACCCGCCAAAGAGGTGCCGTTCTCTCGGCTCGTGTGAACTTCGACTCGCATTCCAGAACGGATCCTCTTCGCTCCCGATCGTTGGTCCCTAAACGGAGGGATCCCTGACACTAGGTGTTAAGGCGTGGGCGATCGGTGAGCGGTAATAAGGTTCCTGTTTAGGGGCGACGCAGCTTCGCGCCTGGACCAGTCGGTAGTCTTATAAGTATCCCCAACATTGTCTTCGTCGCCGCCGGGGATGGGGTCGACAGATGTCCCTCTAACCTCCCCTACCACCTCTCGGTCCGGTCTTGTGGATTTTGGTGCTTCTCTACGCCTTTGGGACTCAACTTACACTGCCTTCACCAATTCTGGTGCTTTTGCTTCACTCGCCCGTTTTTGTCAGGCATATAGCTATGATGGCACGGTGAATTGGGGAAAGGTCGTTTTCTTGACTTCTTGTTTCATCACTATGCTGGGTTGCGGAGTCATTTCTTCCGTCCTGCGGCGCAAGGCCTGGGGCCAAGTCTCAGGAAAGGCACGTTTTCGTCGAACGCGCAAAGGCTTATCCAAGCGCTCTGAAGGAATGGTCACTTCTTCAGATGAGGAAGACTACGATAGCACGGGATCTCTACGCCATGGCACTGAAGGCACTGTTGCGGAGAAGACGGAAGTGCCTCAACAAAAGCAGAGCGAGAATGGTTGGTACTCTCTCAGTGTTTCAATGTTGGATACTGACATAGACAAGCCCATGATACAGACCCAGGCCTCCTGAAGAAGCACTCATCATACCTGTCATACACAACATCTACGGCGACATATCCTTCTATCAGAACGTTCTTCCGTCCGCATCCTCAAAAGGACAAATTGCCCACTAAGCCCTCGCCGATTCCGTTGTTGGTCTTTGTGCATGGCTTGGGTGGATCTCTTGCGCAATTCAATCATCTGCTTACGAGTCTTTCCAATGTCGGGCCTTGCTTTGGGATCGATCTCCCTGGGTGCGGCTTGTCGTCTTTTTCGCCCACTTCTTGGGACGCGTATACTGTGGAAGCGCTGGCAGAGTTGCTTGCTACAGCCATTGAGCAGCACCGGGACAAGGAATCAGGCCAAGAAGTGGTTCTAATTTCTCATAGTCTGGGCTGTTCGCTGTCTGCTCTATTAGCATCCTCCACGTCTTTGATAGGCGCTGGTTTGAAAGAACATATTCTTGGTCTCATTGCCGTCTGCCCTCGCGCTGCACCCCCACCCCCACATGATGTTGCCAAATTTCGCCGGCTTCTTCATGTACCCAGCCCAATCTTCGACCTCTGGCGCTACTGGGATCGGCGGGGCGGTTTACACAGCACCAGCGTGAACAGGCTTGTCGGCGCAGCAGCAGATCCCGATACCAGAGGCCTCCAAGTCCGCTATAACAAGCAGAGCAAGACGGCCGTGTGGAGACGGATGGCATGGGGAACACTGCCGTCGTATGACAGTAATGGCAAGGCCGTCGGAGGCATCCCGGGCGAAGATGTATGGGCAGGCGTGCGCACGCCCGTTCTCCTAGTGGCTGGTGAAGCGGATGCGGTGAACAAACCTGCAGAGCTAAAGAAGATCCTGGAGTTCTTTGCCCGAGCAGGGTGCAGTGTGGATGACGACGCAGATGGAGTGAGCTCCATTCCCGATGCATCCGCAGTTCACGATAAGATGCCCGCATCGTATGATCGGCGCGCACATGAAGAGGAATTCGGGGTGGAGCCACAGATTGAAGAGAAGGAGATCACGAGTGAGTCTGATCAGCCGGGATCTCGGCGGTCGGTCAAGACTGTTATCTTGCCTGCTCCGGCGTCTCATGCTTTGATCTACGACCGTGCGACGTACCGCACTCTTGCCGGGATCATCCAAGACTTTCTCAGCCAGCACATCGATAACCGCCTCAGCATGGGTTGGCAGCTGCAATATCTCAATACGTCAGGAAAGTGGGACGTGAAGAACCTGGCGAAGTGGAAGAAGGTTGCTCCAGTGTCAGAAAGAATTGCTGACACCTTTGCGGCGCTCAAGATGCTCCGGGAGGTGGACGAAGAACACAACCCTGTGCTGTTCTCTCAAGCTTACAGCGACAAGATCTACGCTGTGATTGATATCAGCTACGAGAATCCGGTGTACAATCCCGCGTCCATGGAGAAAGGCGGCATCCACTACCACAAACATCCCACGGTGTCAAAAATCCCACCTACTCCAGACGAGGTTCGCGACTTCATCGCACTAGTAGACCGACTACAGAATGAAATCACTGAGAAGATGGAGAAGTCCGGCAACCCCGCGGGTCCACGGCCGGTGGTAGGAGTCCACTGTCATTACGGATTCAACCGCACGGGATTCTTGATTGTCTCGTACTTGATCGAACGGCGCGGATTCAGTGTGCCGGAAGCCATCGAGGAATTCGAACGGCGACGTCCACCAGGCATTCGCCACGAACACTTTATTGATACCCTATTTGTGCGATACTGCGTTGGCCTGAAGCGGGCGCCAACGCTGTAGGAAGAATAAGTTAGATTTGGCAGGAAGGCAGGCGTTGGCTGGGATATTTCGGGTTACTTTTTTTTTTCTCTTCTCTAATGGAGGATAATGGGTTTTTGCTTTATGAATCACGATAATTATACCATAGACTGTACAGTAGGACAATAGAGAAATACGTATGTTGAACATGCTCCTTATCTAGTTACCTAGTAGTAATTGCTCACTAATCACGGATCTACATAGTTATTAAACTAAGGCATCAATTTAATCCATGCCTGAACGCACGACCCCAGTCACATGACCCATCAAAAACTCACCGCCCAGCACCATCTGCCCCAGGCACCAACTTAGGGTACGGCTAACCCAAACAGGCTAAGCGAAGCGCCCACAGCCAACCGAGAAGCACTACTCGCGCAAAGTTGTGTGCGAATCCGAAATTTCGAGGCTTTCTGACCCCGACTCCCCTTCAACGACGACAACGACCGACCCATCCCCCTCCACCCCTCCCTCGTCCCTCTCTTCGATTCCCCGTTCGAGGTTCAACAAGTCGCAAAAATGGGTGGTGTCACCGTTCGCGATGTCGACGTAAGTCATGTCATGTCAAGATTCGAGATTGGGTTGGTCGGTGCGGAATGGATGGATGGCATGGCATGGCACAATATGGCACGGCACGATCAGGACAAACCGACAAAAAAATGAGATATTGGTATCGGCATTCGACGGAGCAAGCGACAATCATATATATCTATCTGGGATCGAATTTGGGCGCATCAAGCAAGGCTGGGTACATATATACTCTGGGCATCAGATGTGATGAGTTTTGGGTATGGATTGGGGAATATGCAATGCTTGCACGACTACGCGATTGTATATTCCAGCAGCCATATATGATGGAATATGGAGATTTTGGATCAAATGGATGTATGGGGTCAGGAACGAACTGGAACTACTGCCGCCGCGACTTGCAGGATATGTCCAGATTTGCCGATACGTGCCGTGCCATGTTATATGCCATGCTATGCCATGCCTGAATGCGCACCTGCCATACAATTTACGACTTAGGATGTTTTATGGACGGAACGGCTAACAGGATTCTTTTCGATGGTTATAGGCGCAGAAGTTCATCGCTGCTTACTCTGCTTTCCTGAAGCGTCAGGGAAAGCTCCCCATTCCTGGTTCGTGCACACAGGATTCATTTGAACAACCACAACAATCAGATCAAAAGACTAATACGGACTAAATAGGATGGGTTGACACTGTCAAGACCTCCGCCTCCAACGAGCTCCCTCCCCAGGATGCCGACTGGTACGACAACTGCCATTGATTCAAACATGTCGAAGAAAGAAAAGAACCAGCGTGATTAACGAATACTTGCAAATAGGTACTACGTCCGCGCCGCCGCCGTCGCTCGCCACATCTACATGCGCAAGACCGTCGGTGTTGGCCGTCTCCGCAAGGTCCACGGTTCCACCAAGAACCGCGGCTCCCGCCCCGCCCACCACGTCGATGCCTCCGGCTCCGTCGACCGTAAGGTCATGCAGTCCCTCGAGAAGATCGGTGTCCTCGAGCACGATGAGGAGAAGGGTGGCCGTCGCATCACCCAGAGCGGCCAGCGTGATCTTGACCGTATCGCCAAGACCACCGTTGACGAGGAGGAGGACGAGGAGTAAATTAGTCTCTCCGGATGCTCGAGCTAAAATAATGAAAAAGTCCTGATGTTACTCTTTTTCTCCGAACCCCTTACCTTCTATCTCTCTACCTACACCTGGCAAACTCCCTATTGAAGCTGAGCTAGGCTTTAGCTTCTTTGCTGTGTTTTTTCTTATAAAAACTCCCCGTTTGTCTTCTGACACCAAATCCCGCGCGGGTTTGGATGGGGCCACCCAGGGGGGGTGTGCTGGGTTAGATGGGGAAATGGAATATTGGGACGAATGAGTGGCTACGACAGGGAGAGGATGACTTGACTACTACTACTACCTTTTCTCTTTTTTTTTTTTATCGATCAATTGGTTGTTCCTGCGGGCATAAAGGACAATTCATACATGGTGTAGAATTTTGCCTAGATTTCCTCTCCCGATAGATGTATAGAGCCCGTCTAGAAGCCAGCCACCAAGGACATAGGTAATTCAAGCCTATATGCAAGCCCATCAACGAGACCCGCAGCATAAGAACAATGTAATGCATATAACCATATACAAGAACCAACTATATACATCATCGTCACCTTCCGCTATCAATGCCCATGCGCTAACTACATCTATCCAAAACTTGATACCCTCCCCTTCTTACCAATCAACCAATCAATCCCAACTAAGTACTCATTTCTTCCCACCCTGCGCCGTCGGATCCTAAAACAATACAGAGATCACCAGTTAGCCAACCCTATACATACACCCCCAGACGAACAAAAAACAAGGATATAAAGTATGAAAGGATTGGGAGAGAGAGAATTACCAAATAAACCTGATAAAACCGCATTTTCTCGACCTTCTCATCAAACACGACCCTCCCAGCCCAAGGCACCTCAATCTCCTCATCAAACTTTCCAGCCTCCACATCCTTCCTCAGCACATACTTCACCGTCCCATACAGCATGAGTTCTCGCTCCGCACCGAAATATACCCGTTCGGGAGTATGTTTGCGGCGTGCGACGTGGGTCCACAGGCCGTGGCGGAGGTTGAGGATTTCTGCATTATTAATGATGGCATGGTTGTTAGTGTGTGTGTTCAATAGGGCAGGAGTTATGGTTCGGATTATTTGATAGTAGATTAGACATAATTGCAAATAAGGAAAAAGGGGGAAAGAGGAGAGAGAATTGGGTGGGCGGGGGGGGGGAAGGCATACCATCTAACCCCTTCGCAACCTTCGAGCCCATAATGAGCGTCGCATCTTCGGTGAAATTCGTCACGTATTCGTTGTGCAGGGATTCGGTGTCGCTGATGCGGTAGAAGTTCTCCAGGAAGGAGATCATGGCGGCGCTGGTGGGGGGGAGGAGGGTGGGTGGGGGGTGGTGATTGTGTAGCTCATTTTTGATGTATAGTATGTATGGTATCTCTTTTGACTTGTTTTGGGTTTTGGGGGGTGGGTGTTGTAGATTGGATGGTGTAGGGGTGGTTGTGAGGGGTATAGTTTTATTTTAATAGAAGGAAGACAATTGGGATGCTGCATAGATCAGTGATGTAAGATAATTACTTAGTGAGGGGAAGAAGAAGATCTGTCGGGCCGATGGAGGGACTTCCGATGGATGGGATAGATGGATGGATTGGCGGCGATGGTTATCGGATCCGATCGGTATGGTGATTGTATTTCTTATCCGTCTTGGCTGAGGGGAGGGTTATTTTTCTTGCGTAAGAGTTGGGAGGGTATTTTGGCTAGTCTTTCTTTACTTCTACGTGGTTTACTGTGCATGTTTTGTGGTGATGTTCATTACTGGTAGTATTTGTCATAAATGGTCCTATGTACGTAGGTCTACGCCTTCCGACTATCAACATCCTTCTCAAAGTCCTCCCAGCTCGCTGCATCAGTACCGTTGGGGCGACTGGACCGAACAAACGAGTTATCGACACCCTCTATCTCTGCAATCGGGCGAACAATCTCAATGTCCGCATTGTACGCCTTAGAGAACCATTTCTCCGTAAGGGCCTCTGCGCCCGCCTCCTCAGGAGCACGGTAGAGGTGAGGGAAACGTGCCTGCATTATCTTAAGAACGGTCGATGAAATGCGATCAACGCTGTCACAATGACGAAGCTTGAAGAACTCTGCTGGCTGCGCGGCGCGCATCTTCTCCTGCATGGCTTCCGAGTACTGGCCCACGGCAAAGAGAAGCAGGTCGTAGTGCATGAGAGACGCCTTGCCATGGTACGAACCGCCGTATTTGGCGCGGTTGTAGAGACCAGTCAGGGCGGCGATGGCGCCCATGCAGCCGGTGCCGTAGTCGGAGATGGGGAAAGGGGGGACGACGGGGGTGGAGAGGCCCATGAATTGACCTTGAGCCCAGGCGATACCGGTGACCTGTTGCAAATAAGTTAGTTATGGCTCGTGTTAAGTTACAAGTGGCACTTACGCAATCGGCGATCTGCTGCCAGCCAGGACGGCCAGCCCACTCTCCTTCATAACCAAAACAATTCTCGTTGACGTACACAATGCCCTTGCCGCGCTTCACAGCCAAAGCAGCAAGAGCATTGGGGCCATAGCCCAGCTTCTCAAGCGCACCAGGGCGGTACCCGTCCACAACAACGTCGGCATCGGCCACGAGCTCCTCGAATTGGCGGCGACCCGCTTCGCTCTTGAGGTCCAGGTCGGCGGCGTGCTTGCCCATGTTGCCGTCAACTTGGAAGAAAGGGACATCGGAGAGGTTGGGGCTGGTGATCTTTAGCACGTCCGCGCCGTATTCGGCCAGGATGCGTGCAACAGTAGGGCCGGCAATGATACGGCACATCTCCAGAACCTTGACACCTTCGAGAACTCTCTTGCTGCCGTTGCGACTTGCTGGGAAGGGGGTCGGCGGCAAGTCTCCATTCAGACGGCTGACTTTCCACGGAGGCTGTTGGACGTTGAGTGCTCCCTAGTAGCTTGTCAGCGTTGCTTGGTGGGTACAGGGCAGGGGTCGTACATGTGGGGTCTTCTTAAAATCGTCATACTTGAATGCGGTCACACCCGCCTGTCGTCTTTCTCTGTTCATCTCCTCCAGCTCCGCGGCGCTGTACTTCTGCACATGGCTCTCAATGACCTTGATGATTTCCTCGTAGTCTGTCAGGTCGGGACGCTGCCCTTCCAGGCCAATCATGTTGAGCGTTGTGGTGGCCTCCAACGAGCCGTGGATGTGGAAGTATTCGTTGTCGTTCTTAGTCTTGTAGAGGTTCGCCGACATCCGGCGGTAGCCATTGGATTGGGCTGCAAGCAAGTCGGTATCTATGTCAGGTTAGCTTAAGTCGAATGTGCTTAAAATGGGCAGCTTACCCTTGAGCTTCTTCTTCACCTCGGGGTCCAACTTGGACAGCCCGTCAACCTTGGCCATATAAGACTGACAGCCGAACGCAGTCGCCCGTTCAAGACTTATGCTGACATTGCGCCTGTGTTCAGAAGGTCCATAGCGGAGGTCTGCAAGAGCACCGGCTACGGAACCCTCAACACCCTTAAGGGCAGCAAGCGTCTCGGTTTCCTTGAAAGGGATTGGAAAGTAAACTTCGTCATGTGTTGAAGAGAAAGAAACGGCATCCTTGCCCTCTGTCACTTCTTTAGGTAAATCGAGCTGCTCAGCTTGATCACAGAGATAAGAAAAGATGCGCCCAGCTTCGCGAACTGGTGAATAGTCCACCGCGGAAGATCCCGCCATGATGTCAGTCAGTACTAGGTGGAGCTTCGTGAGTAGATGTGTGTGCGACAACGATTCTGCTTCAACTGCAAAAGCAAATTGTTAGCGCGGGATCCCACACGGCTGTCAGTTGCAAAGAATAGTTTGAGGTGAAACCTTGCCTTTTAATAGGCAAGTTTTTCGGCACGGCTGGGGCCTACTTTGATGGCAGTGAATATTGCGCCGGGAATATTCCGACGTTTGGTCCGTCGGGTGAAGGTGCAGTGGTGAACACACGGCTGTGAGTAACTGCACAGCTGTGAACGCGCAGATGTGGACCAATCGGTAGGTGAATGGGCGCAGAAAACCATTATGCTTGTTGGAGAGGCGAATTATGGGCCAGGATTAAGGGCAGAGGGAGGAACCCCGCAGAGGGGATTCCGAAAGGTGGACCGGCTCTGCGATGTGCACTTTTCGGATGCGTCGCCGATAAGATCGGAAGCGGAACCCTCCGGCTTTGACTCGGCTGAGATAAGCGTCGACCTCATTTAACTCTATGGTCCGTTATATATTATGTAGTATTGAAATTCGAGCGGTTGACAAGCTAGCGTGCATCATATTACAATTCTATTTCTGTAGACACTGGTATGATGAATAGACAAGATGTTGCATGTATATAGATCATCGGCATTATACTTCGGAGACGAACCCTTCCAAGTCACCTCTCAATTGACATTCCTATAGAAAGGGAAACAAGAGACTCAATGGTTTATCTATTGGCTTGATATGTTAGACAGGTAACAATTATGACATAACCTAATAAGGCTGCTTGTATTCCACCAACGAGACCTTCTAGTCCAATCCTATCAGCCAGTGTAGTACCATGTCAAAGGTTACGCAAATAGTCCTGTAGTATATTGGCAGGCTCACTCCAAACTATCGTTGTACCAGGTGCGCAACTGACCGGGATAGACATGTCTATATAATTCAGGATTAAGTCCTATATTCTTATATGTTGGTGTAAGTTATGCGCAGATAGCGTTCTGTGTAGCTAAATCGACTCATGGACAACAACATTAGTCAATTCAAATCCTTTGTGCTGGACCTTCGTTGTAGAAGTTTATCAGCACTCCATACGAGCGTAGCCAAGCTCTGCTTGATAGACATCTGCAAGATAGTATTCCTGATATGAGGTAATCTCAATCCGATGTCTCCCAGTGAGAGATAGGTCTAGTCTCTCGTAACAGGTCGGAGTCGATTTTCGACCCAATAACAGGGTACGAGACGGTCAAAATCCCCTCCAAGGTGCTTCAAACGTAAACTCTCCAGTTACTGCAAACGAGCTGCCCCTCGACCACCTGGTAAAAGCCTCGAAGTTCAAGACTGGGAGCGCACCACTTATAAGCTTCAATCGGGTAGAACTATTATGAGTAGTCGATGTAAGACTCCGATCTTATAGTGACAGGTCAGAGGCAGGTCTTGTTTCGAGGAACTAACCTGAGTAGAAACTAGTCTGAGTAGAAGCAGTGTGAGACATAATCCTCTGTGTCTTTCTCCTAGTATCCGTTTAACAGACTGCAAGAGATTGTATTAGCTGCACTGAGTATATTCTTTGATACTGGCGCTCCCAACCACCCGAGTCATGACCATGTAAGCCAAGGGACAGTCATACAATCGTTGGGTGCCTGACCTTTACGCCAAAATGACCTCTCTCAGAGTATTGGAGGAATGGCCAGTTTTCATCGTCTCAGAGAAACACGATATTTGCCGCGTTCGCTCCGGTCCCACGCCAGGAGCGGTCTTCACAGCCCGGAAATCATGGTTCTTTCTGTTTGGCACCACAGTTATCTTTTTCTTGAGCGCGTCCGGGATGAAAGTGGCGTCGACCACGATAGGATGTTTGTTTTTGATGGAGAGATCAAGCCTACTAGTATTTAGAACGTCAAAGTTAGACCATTTCTTTTGCTCGACGTCATAGACCTTCGCGGGCTTCTCCTTATCGGCGCCAGGTCCGACGATAGCAATACCGTAGGCAATGGTCTTGTCTTCCATCAGATCCTTATAAATAATCAACTAAATTTTCGCCGCACGCCTCACCTCATCTCTGAGTGTGTAAGAGCCACGGACCATGGGGTACCAGCGGATGCCCTTTTCCTCCAGCCAGACAGTCGGACCGCGAGGTACAAATATCACCCTCTCTATTGAAGTAACTAGCCCACTTTTGGCCTCATGTTGTAGCAGCGATACTGGTTTCATTAAGAATAAACCCATGCGTCAGACCCATGCGCGCAGGATGGCAGCTCATTCCTCTGCTAGATGCCCCCGTCGATCGGCCAGCACGCTTGAACTAATGGCCACTGATACGACAGAATGGCTCCCGCTGGACATGCTGCCAAACTGCCGCGTTCGCTACGGTCCGGAGCGTCCAACATCTTCTAAGTGGTGGATATAGAGTTATAAAAGATGCAAAAGAAGAATATCATGGTGTTTTACGTGCTGTTTCATATGATGATTTAATTAATGTTAGTTACAGGAGTAGACGATGCAAAGGAGTGTAAGAAACAGAGGGGAAGCCGGTGTGTCTTTACCAAATAAGGCAAGCACGCTGCAATTTTGACATCTGATATTCTAGCCCTATTGGATACATTGGGCTGCATGGTTGCTATTATGGCTTCCCTCCGCTCAGATAATTCATGGGTCAACTAAGCTCGCACATATCTTGATCGATTGGGCTTGGATAACAATAGGAGCATGATTCTCTCAATCCTGTGGAGTGAGGGACATTGGGTTGCAGAAATGAAAGGTCTCACATGGTTGGACTACCAGACACTTATTACTATCTGTCAAAGCACCACAGTTAGCATTATAGGTGGAAATGCCTATATGCCGCAAGTGAGTTATCTTTTAGGTCTTAGAAAGGTTCGGAAAAAGAAGCTACATGCTTGGATCCCTTGTGACCTTAGTAGTAAGACGCACCTATAAATATATAGATTCAAAATTGTGTTGCGGTATCGATTTCTTCTGTACGATTGTCAAACATGCAACTGCACTACAAGGTCATATGGATGACAGGAGTTTGTATGAGCTTAGAAGTTCCATGAGTGCTCAGTGGCTCAGTGGCGGTATCAGAACGAATCGTAGCACCGGATAAAACTACATTGGGCATCGATTAGTAACTTTTATTATAATAATATCCGGCTGCCCGACGTCTATAGTTATGAAGTTACGTTTTGTTGTATATTGTACTTCTGCTAGTCCATTTATTGGGCTATGGTAATGGCCTGGCTATGAAAGTGGCACAGATTCGCCACAGTTTATGGTTGTAGTCTGGCTGCGGCAGCGGCAGATCGTATGGAAGATGTCGATCCCGTATATTGCTTTGTCAACTATGGGTCTCAGGCTGCCTTTTCCTTCTAGTCGTGAAAATAGTATGTTCAATCGAAAGTTCCATCGAATTCTCAACCAATCTGCATAGGGGTGATAAATCATAACAGTCCCTATTGTATAGGGGGAAATGACAATAATAGACCACTACTATTTATTTAGATGCGGCGTTGCTGGAAATAGTCTACCTTTAGCCTCTAGTTTATTGAACCCACTTCTAAGGGTATAAATAACATACCCACTATGCAGTAGATACTTACTCTATTGAATAGTAGATCGAGCATCCTGATACACCACTATTTATTAATGTTATCCACCCCGACAATTTTGAAGTCGACGTGTAAAGCCACCTCAGTTTATAATCATCGTCAACAAACGGAGAACCACACCCCATCAACTTCTCTTTCTAGTACGATTGGTGGGGGCGGATGTTGATCGCATGCGGCACAAGCAAAACGACATTAGAACCAGGGTAGAAAAAGCAAAGGAGAAAAAAGGCCCGAGCGGAGATGCATGGACATCACGAGCCCTTCTCAGCCAGTCAGCGATTGTCCATTTCCCCCAACCGACATCCCAACCAGCCTGATATGACCGATGAGGACATGACACCCCCGTACTATTCGATGCAAGCCTGCTGCATGAGCAAAAAGCAGACAGGCAATCTAATGAACGTCGACATATCTAGCAAAAAGTATATGATGCAATGACGGGAATATTGGGAACGCATCTAATGGGTCCAACAGATGAAGAAAGAGCCCAGTAAGTAGATAACGCAGTACAGTAGAGGATTCTCGCTAGTCAATCAATTAAATGCCTCTCTAGAATCACGTTGTTGTTTGCCAACCCAAAAATTGAGAGCAACCTCCGGTGCAACCTAAAATGCCCAGTTCCTACCCATGAAACCCGCACACAAGAAACAATCCACATTTCTACACCTTTTTTTCGATACACATTTAGGCTTCTGCAAAAAGAAACTTTCCATGGGGGTTGGATGAAGGGTGGGATGCACAGCCAGTCACCACGGCGTCCACCTGCGCATGTGCGGTGCCCGATAACCCACGTGCCGTCATCATGGAAGGTTATCGCGTACCACATAAATCCATGAAGGATAATCCAGTTGTAGGGTAAGAACCCTGCAACCAACCCTCCTACTCCTAGACGCGGGGAGGGGGCGCACGGGCACGAGGCACCGGCCTTGATATGCTCGATGGAATCAAGTGGAAACGTTTGCTTTTCCGTCTACTACTCTTTTAAAACCAAGGAAGTGGAGGTGGTGATTGTAGTATACGTCCTATTGAAATTACCTCATTGGGGGGGTCGGTTGGGTTTTGAGGCGGGTATCACAGGCTTCGTCACCGACTTACTCTTTGTAGTCTGTGTGAAGGTAATGACGAAAGCATCTAGGATGGAGGGGGGATATGGGGATAATTTTATGGTTAAATTTGCAAAGATGAAAAAACATATGAGCCCAAGAATGGAGTGGCTTTCTGCATTAAGTAGTATCTACTGAGTTACTACGTATCTACTTCTCGGTATGGAAAGTGTGAGAAGATAAGCCGGTGTGTGTGTGTGTGTGTGCGTGTGGAAATTCTACAAAATACGGTAAGATAACGTGAGGACAGAAATCAGGGCCGATTGCCCCCGGAAGCTCCCGGCGCTGTCTACGGCGGGCCTGAGGTTGGCAACCAATCAGCCGGGCCACGGGCTCGTACGGCGGACTGCTTGCGTCGGTAAGAAGGAGGTTTTGGGTCTGACAGGATGGATAAGGGGAACTTTATGGGAAAGATGTCGATGATAAGAGGGTCGTACTGGAGACATACCAGGCAGTTCCATCCTTAAAGGAGGTCGTCATCCCACACTAATTATCTACTTAGTTTACTGTGTATCTCACCGGAGAGAGGGGGTTCATCTTCAATCAAATCAATTTAACTTAACTCCTTTTTGCCAGGGATCTTTTTTCAAAAAAAGAAAAAAATAAGGAACAAAATACCGTACCTTTCAAATCTGGCATCTATTGAGTTATTTTATTTTTATTTGTTTTATCTTATTTCCAATCAATAATACACACACCTACTTAATTCCCTTTTTATTTTTGCCCCGAAAGAAGGCGCCTCCTTCCCGGCTGACAGACATTCCATTATTGCTATTCTTACTACTATTGACGGACTGCAACCACCACTCCTTGCGTTTACCCCCCTCCTTCTCCTCTCCGTCTCATTTCCTCCTTCTACTTGCCAAATCTCCTTTCTCTCCTCTCATCCTGTTCCTCATCAAAGAACTTCCCAAGGCTTTCTGACCTCCCCCCTGGTTCTTGTTGGCTCGATCATCCTGGTTCTGCTTGTCTCGACCTGTCGCGTCATTCTTCCTATCAACTCTCCTGCCCAGTAGTACGCTGAGTTAGCGCGTCGCATCGCATCTACCCTGCATACTACGCCTCAGCGTTGCGTCTGCACAGCTGTCCCGACTGTGATCTGCCTTTGCGAACAGTGCACTGTGAGTAACAAACCCTCAGATAAATTTTCCAACCAAATTCCTTTGAGCTCAATTTTTGGTTTTCGTTCCTTTTTGTTCCTTTTTGCCTCCGAACGCGTGAATCTTATACTTCCCAATTGTCCTCCTGAGTGTGGGACTTAGTCATCTGTTCCATTGGTTGGCCTCATGCAATGATTGGCGGATGGTCCTCTGACTCATTTGATAAGCAGATTAGCCACCCTCAGGTCCCCCAAATAAAAGAAAGTATCTAGATCCTCTTGTTGGTCTCGATCATCACCATGGCTTTCATGAATACCACCTCCAGCATTGCTATGGCCCTTGCTGGCAAGACGGCCTCTGTCGATATCCCCAAGCCGCGCTCCGGTTTCACCCCGGGCGGTCGTGACTCCGCTCGTCCGGGGCATCCTGTCATGTTGCCTACTCCGCCCAACTCCATTTCCCCCACTTTGCCTCCGCAGGGCTTCAGACGCCAGGGCGCTAATCACCCTGGATACTCCCCGCTGAGCTCCTCGCATGTGGAGTCCGATGTTGAGCTCGGAGATGCCGCCGATCATACGAACAACTCGAATGAAGCTCGTCCGTCGGCTCATGATCTAGATAGCACCGGGGCTATCACGCCCGGCATGTTGGCCAAGTGCCATCTCCCGGAAATCATGCTGCAGCATGGCCCTTTGGCTATTCGCCACCTCATGGGCTATTTGACCACTAGTGTCCCGGGATTCTCAGGCATCCCGCCTGCCAAAGCCCGCAGGCTGGTGGTCGCTGCGCTGGAAGGTCGAGGGAGCGAAGACAAGAGTGGCGGTCGTGATGGTGATGTTATCTTCGAAAAGGTCGGCTGGGGACGCTGGGATGCTCGCCGTCGTGGTGAGCCTTTGCGGGATGCGCAACACCTCAACGTGTCGCCACCCGCCAGTATCTCCAACTCTTTCCCGCAACGGGGCATGCAGATCCCTACGAAGCGGGGAAGCGTTCAGCCCTATGGCAGTAGCGTTACTGGCGACTCCGCTGTCTTCTCTTACTCGGAGATGGACTACGGTGGACATGATATCAGCATGCTGGAACATGAGGCTGACAAGATGTCACTCGACGGAAACGAGCGCGAGTACTGCTCGTCGTCTGAGGCCCCGGACGACGAGATGCAGGACGAAGACTGGGGCGAAGAAGACATCACAGACGAGGAAGATTGGGCACAGATAGGTGCTGATGCGCTTCGCGCACGATCATTGAATGCCTCGGGAGGCTTCGTGAATGGGACACATAATTCGCCACAGCTGCGCGGCGGAGGACCTGCTGCGTCGTCGCTGGCGAAGTCTGCACCGCGCAGATTACCGGTTCAACAACACGGCTTTACCCTCCCGGAGGGTGTCATGGGTGACCGCGAGGAGCGTGCTGCAGTCGAGGCGCTCCTCCGACTCGGATCAATGTAATCATATATATACTTTTGGCAGGCGTTTGTCAAGAACATCTTGTGTTCTTGCAACCCTGCAACGTCTCTTTGAGACTTGAGGCTGGTCCCATTTCCTGATACATACTTTTACGTTCTACGATTACTTTTCTTGTTCAAAGAATACACCAGCAAGCTGGACGACGTTATCGATACGACTGGTTCGATCCTGACGATGCATTGGGTTTGGGTTCTGGGAATGACCCCGGCGTTTTGGCATTTCTTTAAACAACATTTACATAATTACATCGACCTGGTACAAGGTTGATGAACCTGTTGCCTATCAGGCGTTCTTGGGGGTGCGTTTCAACACACCTACTGGCACCCCGGACCACTCTCCATTCTTGCAATTATTGGAACACATGATTGTTGCATGGCAGCAAACTGCAATGGACTACTTCTATCCATTCAATCCATATTGTTTATATGGTTCTTACGACTCAGTGTTGATAGCTTGAGTCTGCCGAGTGAGGCATTGGACATATTTTTTACACATAGAGATAATAAATATACGGTCTATGCTTGGTCTCGGCCACATAGTCATACACATACTCATGCCTTTACCCGTAGAGTTTCGTAGTATGTACTAAATTTGGTATAATACGTTCGAAACAAACGATACTTAGTGTTCTCTATTGTTTATCTCACTCACAACAGTTAAGTAGCGACATAAAGAATTCAAAAACAAGTTACGTAGTACATAGTTTACAAGACCAAACACACCCACCTTTTCATCCCAATCCAAGCCCCGAGCACAACCTATACCGTTCCCTTCCCAACCCAGCAAATACTAGTAACCTAATCAGACACACTCAAACAACCAAACCAACAAACCAACGCCCACCCATCCCAACAGATATCCATATCATACATACACACCCCAAACCAACCCTACCCAACATCCTCCCTACCTCAACCAACACCCCTATATAAAAGAACTAAATCACCGATCATGAACCTCATTAATCCTCTTCCATACCTCCGCCTCCACCTCGCCCAACTTCCGTTCCGCCCACCTCATCCACCCCCACACTCCATCTTCACCACCCTCCGCATCACCCAGATCCACCCTCCCCGACGACGACGCATCCGGCTCATAATGCAGTGGCAGCTGCGCCCCCGCAGAAGTCACCGTCGTAGTGGCCGTCGTGGTAGCTGTCGTGGGGGGCTGGTAGAGGGAGCCGTAGGGTGTTGTGGTCGAGTTAGGGATGGGGTTGGAGGTTTGGGTTGGTGGTCGGTAGCTGCCGTAGCTGTAGCTGTAGCTTTGGGGGTGGGTATGGCTGGATGGGGGTGTTGGGGTGTAGGAGGATGCTGTGGGTGCGGGTGCGGGTGCTGGTGCTGGTGTGATGGTTGGTGGAAGAGGAGGTTCGGCTGGTTTAGGCGCAGGGGGTGTTGGTGAAGGGTTCGAGGTGATGGTAGTGGTGGTGGATGTTGGAGCTGGATGGTCAGTGGAAGATGTCGGGGGAGGGATAGGGTGGGCGCCTGGTTGGGGTGGTGGTGGGGATGTAGATGAAGCTGGAGGGTCTTCGGTGGCAGTTGTGATGGTGGTAGTGGCTGCTGCGGGTGTCAATGGCACTTGGGTGTCCAGGGAATTGGTTGCTTGGGTTGGAAGGTCGCTGGGTTCTGCGGTGGCGTAGATGGGAGAGTAGGCTGGAGCAGTTGCTGTCGCGGAGGTGGTTGCGGGTTGGGTTGTGTCTTGCTCTGCCTCTGGTTCGGAGTCGGCGGCGGCGGCAGCTGGGCTGGAGGTCCGGGGAGGGACCTTATCTGTGGTGGAGGAACTGGTCATTTTGGATATAGGTGGAATTGGTGGAGGGGATGTATAAAGGGAGGAAGGAAGCTATAACTATGCGATGGAAGCTGGAGCAGGGACCGACGTCATGGAGCTTTGTTGCACGTGACGTTGTCATTGGGTCAGGTGACCAGAATGCTGCAAATTTTCACAGCAACTATGGCATCTACTTTACGGCTAAGAACTGATTTGATCCAAGGCAGGACATACTGATTTTGATACCAAGGTGGAGAAAGTACAGTTGGAAGAAAAAAAGAAATAAGCTTGCGGGCAGTAAAATACAACTGGTACAAGAGGAAATATCACACGATTCTATGCTCAAGATTATTGATATCACTCTTGACGCATATTTCTATCCTCCGCAGCACCTCCGGCATCTGGTAGTTACACCAAGACACCGGCAACCCCATTTCCCCGATATCATGACTGAAGCAGCTTGAAATTAATCAAGCGCTTAGCCAGAGCCACCCTTGTACTTCTTGCCGAAGAGGATGAGCTGGACCTGGTCGTAGATAGACAGGACACCAGCACCGGCAACACCACGGAGGATGTTAGCACCGGCACCCTTGAAGAGAGACTTGACACCCTCCTTGGCGACGATCTGGCGAGCAGCATCCATGGAGGACTTGTACTTGACGGCCTCACCGGAGGTCATCATCATACGACGACGGATGGTGTCCAGGGGGTAGGAAGCGATACCGGCACCGGTGGTGACAGTCCAGCCGAGCAGGAAAGAGGCAAGGAAGTTACCCTCGAGAGGACCAACCAGGACAACGGGCTTGATGGAGTCGTACATGCCGAAGTACAGACCACGGTAGACAACGATACCAGCAACGGAGGGACCGAAACCACGGTAGAGACCGGCAATACCGTCGGAGGCGAGGGTCTTCTTGTAGACGTCAACGAGACCGTTGAACTGACGGTCACCACCGCCCTTGGCGGACTTGGCGTCGTTGGCAAGACGGGTACGGGCGTAGTCGAGGGAGTAGACGAAGAGGAGGGAAGTGGCACCAGCAGCCTGAAGCAATTGTTAGCGTGATCGCTCGAGTATTAAGCTGGATATAGGGATACATACACCACCGGAGGCAAGGTTACCCATCATCCACTTGGTGTATCCATCACGCTCCTTCTTGTAGGAGAACATGGACTTGTAGGTGTCACGGAAGGCGAAGTTAAGAGCCTGGGTGGGGAAGTAACGGATAACGTTGGCAGTGTTACCACGCCACAGGGAAACAACACCCTCGGAGGCGGCGGTACGACGGAAGCAGTCCATGATACCGTTGTACTTGCGGTCGAGACGACCAGCGCGAAGCATCTCATCCTGAAGGGCAATCGTATTAGCATCTGTTTGGGTCGATCTCATGTTCGGACTGTCTGGAGTGAAAATTTTTGCGCCCGGCTGAATTGGCAATCTTCGGTCGGAGAGATGCCGTTTCGAAGACGCAATTGCAGATCGTGCCAGCAATTTTCGTTCCGGCAGTGCGAGACATTGGTGTTGAGGCTTAACCAACCTGGTTCTGGATGAGGAGCTTGATACGCTCGATGGGGGCGGCAGCAGTCTTGGAGACGGCAGCGGAGACACCACCCACTGTACCAGTAGTTAGTATCAAATTCAGGTCATGATAAATAATTCGTATTGCTCGTTGAATAGGAATTGATCGATCGTAGTATAAGGATCGATCATTCGGGGCGAGCTGGAATGCACATACTCAGGAAGTCGACGACGAATCCCTGTGAAAATTTTTCATCAGCCACCTAGTCCGGCAACAACACCATTGAACCGGGCCAAATTGTTCGATCATCGTGTCTCCAAGGAATGGAGTACTCGATCTTCGATATTAAAGACCAACTTCAACCGATTCCATCGAGAGCGCGACATCCGACAACCTGGCCTTTCCGTTCGTAGGGGACAAGTAGGAACTTACGGGCATGCCGAAGACGGTCTTGTCGGCCTGGTTAACATCACCCTTGGCCATTTTGACGGCTGTGATAACGAAAACTAAGGAAAGAAAGAGAGGAGATGGATGATAGTGCCAGTCAAACAGGACACTTCAAAGGGGATGGAGAGAAAAGGAAGAGAGGAAGGGAAGGGAGGGAAGAAAAAATAGCGAGCGAAGGGCTCTTGTAAGCGGGAAGAAGCGAGCGGAGACGCTAGGACGCTCTTGGGTTTTTCGCTGGCCTGAATTTGCAGTGGCAGCGGCGGCGATGGGCGCCCCGGCCCAGTTTCCATTGGCCGGATTGGTTGGCCCGGTACGGAGTAGGGAGGCCCTCCCATTGTTAGGGGGAACGAAAAAAAAAAAACAAAAAAAAAAAAACTGGACCCGGCGCTAATGCTGGCCCAGGCAACGAAGAGCCGATATCTCCCGATCGCGCCAGTAACCAACTCCGACCGCTGACATTATTGGGAAATACCCTTTGATACCTTAGTTACTATGAGTGAATTTCTGGTCAAAGAGCAAGAAAAAGCCACTTTCATCTTCATCTCAGCCTTCATGATAGCGATTATACCTACGGAATGATATTTTGGAATATATCAATCTAATAGCCTCTGAAACGGCATGTTAGCTCTCGATATTTATTTTCTTGGGTCTTTTTTTCATCCCTTCCGTAGTCTACCGATCGGTGTACTCGCAATCACCGCTCGGTCCTTTGCTGATTGACCTCAAGACCATAATTTACATGTTTGGGCCCTTTCTCCGTAATTCGGCTTTGTAAGATATCCATTCCTCTCCCATTTCCCCGTCTTGACCGAACCAAAAGCGTTTTTCTTGGAGAGTCCACACTTTCGCGCTCCATCCATGGGGAACCGCCCCTTCTTCCCATTTGGTCCCGGATATCCGATGGCAAACGCTTGCCTCTCGGCCTCCATCTTGTGCACTTTGACTTATTCGTGCACAACGGCAATTGCAGGAACGGGATTGTCAATTTGCGTCAGTCTCTGCAGAAATTGCTCGAAAACTATTCACAAATTTTTACTCACTTAAGTACCTACGCTACTACTTATCTATCTGCAGCATCCAAACGGAGTCCATGGTTTCTGGACCTTCCTACGCGCCACCGGGACTGATCAGGTGCGTGCGGCGTCTTTCGGCTGACATGCCGCGATTTCCCCGTTTTTCTGCTCCGGGCGGAAGTTCTCAGGTACGGAGACAGAGCGAGAGACAAGAGACAGAGACAGAAGGGGGTGGCCAAGGGAGCAGCGATCGCAAACACGGACAACGTCGGTAATATGAAGTATCCCATAGGTTGGTATTCTATCATACTCTCTCCGGTTAAATACTATCAGTTCTTATCATCCAAGCTTGGTTCCCTATGAGTAGGACTACATGGTTATGCTGCATTTCGTAGGCAAGGGCACAGCAGTAGCATATGCTTGTTGCTAGAGGTTATGTTATATACCTCAGACCGTACTCCTTTTTATCCCTCATCCTAGTGTCCGAAGATCGCAAGTAATCGTTTTTTTAGGGTACTAAGGGGTTATTCATTCAACTATCACCACTCTTCAAAAACCGAACAACTATGTTATATTCATTCATACAAGAGGTATACACATGACCAGTATATCCATCCGATCCCGACGTTCTTCCACACTATCCCAGTGCCAGCATCATCTTTTCGTATGCAGCCAAAGAAGACACGAGACCTACATTACCCAAACAGGAATTGTCCCAGCCGGGACCCACTGTTTCTGCTTGAAAGTGACTAGTTCCATTTTTCCACCTTGGTCCTCCTCTTTCTGTCTTTCTTTTTTTTTTTCTCTTCTTTCTTTCCTTTCCTCCTTTTTTTATTTTTATTATTTTTTATTCTATTTTTTGTTTGTTCGACGGGGCGGGCAAACCTGACAAACTGTTCTCTTTTCATCCGGGACCCACCCGCTTAAAAAAACATGGGGATACCACTTTTCATCTGCGCCGTTGTGCCAGCAACGGGAGGTTCTGGTGTGGTTTAGGTGTTATTAAGGCTCGTTTCTGTAGCATGTTGGTTGGGCTAATGTTATTGGAAAGTTCATGATTGGTTGATTTGCTGTTTATGAAGGCCATTTGCTACAGTAGTAGTAGTTCATCGTTAAGTACCATGTAGACTGAATTGTGTTTACATGGTTCGGTCTCCGCGAAAATATATAGCATCAGGGAATTCAATTCAAGAGTGAGTACTACACTCAATTATCACATATCCAATATTCATCACATGTTCCCGACATGGTACTACAGTAAAAACACCTCGGTTCTATCAAGGGAATTGATATAAAACTAAGTACCTGATCATTTGACTCAATGAACTCTTTGCTATGCAGTAGGTAAATATATTTGTAACTTTTGACCAGCTTATCTACCAACAACGTAGACAGCTTTCATTACCGATACGCCGTTATTGAACAATGAAAACACTGTCTAGTATATCATAAAATCCCAGATGCATGTACAGTAAGAAGCACCCCAGGTTCAGTTCTTCTTGTTTCTCTTTCTCCTCTTCTTCTTGGGTTCACCCTCACGGATATCAACCTTACCGACATTGTCCTTCTCCGGTGTAGGTGCCCGTGGCGCCTCCTCGGAAATCCTGGGGCCTTCTTCGTCACCAAACGTATCCTTGCGCCATTGCCTTAGACGGGCCTTCTTGCCCAGCTTCCTCTGATCCCGACTCTTCTTCTCAGGGTCACGGAACGATGCAAGCTTTTTCAAGCCCGCAAACTGGTTCAAATGGGTGTCGTCGGCCATGAGGATATCCCGTGCAGTCAATCCAAAACTCTGAGGCGATGTCTCCCGGTAGCGGAATCCAGTAGAATTCTTCTTGGTCGCACCCGGAAGAAGGCTGATATCGAGGTCCAAGTTGCGATCCACGGCCTCCTGAATACGAAGGCGGTCTTTGCGCGCTTCACGCTTTTTGTCTCGTTTCTCCTGCGCCTTGCTCTTCTTGTTACTTCCCTCTTCATCATCCTCCATATCGACATCAGAGGCATCCACGGCGGGCTTCTCCTCTTCCTCGAAGTCGGGCACGAGATCCTTGATATCGATATCATCATCCCACGTAGGTTTCTTCGGATGCTTCTTCTTCTTCCCTGACTCATCACCGCTTCCTTCCTTATCACCCTCCGCGTAGTAGTCTTCACCAAAACGTTTCTGCATTTCCTCCTCCCAGTTCTTGTCATCCCAGGCAGCGTCCAAGAAGCTGACCCAATCTTCGTCAGTCAGCTCATTGGCACGAAGGCCTGCAACCTCCTTGATTTGGTTGACCTTCTCTTGAAGTTCTTCCATCTTGAGTTTCCGCAGGCGGTTCTTTTCTGTCTCGCGCTGCTTCTTCTCCTCTTCCATCTGCTGTCTCTCCGCATCTCTGCGTTTCTTCCGGCTGCTCTTTTCTTCTCTGCGAACCGACTGCTTGTTAGTCAGGTCACGAGAATGGGTGATTAGAGTAGCGTTGATTTTGCTGGGGTCTTCGAAGCGGAAGTTGTATGCCTCTTCGAATGCCTCGGCCCGTTGATCCTCCTCTTCGTCATCAGACTCGAATGGTTGAAGTTCCGATCTACCAGCAGGTATCCATGCTCTTGCCGACATGAAGTTTGAAAGGAAGGTTTCCGGGTCTTTGTCCGCATTTTCAACATCTAGGTTGACATCCTTCTTGGGCTCCGGAAGAGGTTCAGGCGCCGATTTGGCAACAAGGAAATCATCTTCGTCCTCCTCCTCACCCTCATCACCTTTACCGGCAGCGGCGTGCATTTCGCGGACAACCGCATCCTTCAATTCCTCTTGCTCCTGAGCGTAGGTCTTCGGCGCATCAGATGCCTCCTCATCTGCCAGGTTGGCGCCACTTAACAGATTCTCACGATGATAATCGCGAAGAGTCATAGGCTTTTCTTTCTTTCCAGTGCCTTCGGTTTTCGCCTCCTCGTCGGCTGCGGTGTAGAAAGTGGCATTGCTATCATACACCCGAGGGTCCTTTGATCGGATTGCGTTCAGCGTGGCCATAATCTCGGCATCCAAAGCGGCGGTAGCCAATTCTCCATCCTCGTCCTCTTCTTCAGAGGTAGAATCATCCTCCGAGTCGCCAGACTCATCTTCACCTTCGCGATCACGACGTTTGCCTAGCACAGATTTTCCGTATTTGGACTCCACTATCGTAGAATAGATTTTAGTTTCTCTCCACATGCAGGTTGTAGAAGTGTGACATCTTACATTGCTGCTTCTCTTCTCTCTTCTTGTTGTATTCGAAGCGGCGCGCATACTCTTCGTTGATCTTGAACGTGATGTCCTCGTTGGTGATGGGAACTCCGCCGGACTCGTCTCCTGAGTCGCTGGAGCTGTCGTCATCGAGCAACTTGCGCGACCTCTTGGCTGGGGGCTCCATTTCGAAATAACAGACACAGCTGTTGGGAGATCACTAGAATGTGAAAAGCGATCGATGGAAGTGGTTATCTCCGACCAAATGCGCCTCCCAAAAGAAAATAATAGCGGTTGCCGGCAGAAAAAAAAGTCGGCGGGGCTCACCGCCCTACATGGCCCTTTGTTGCCTGGGGACCCAAGGCCGTCAAAGGGAACCACTGACGTAGCCAATTAGATCATGCGCGGGCCTGTATCCGCCGATGGCTCGAGCAAGAGGCGCTCTGTCTCCTAGTAAGCTTCCTCCACTAGCCATGCTACTTTCCCACCTTCACCTGTATCCTTGAGTTTTGCGGATGCTTCATTTCTATCATTATTCTTTGATTTGACCAGGGGCCTCATTGCTGCCTTGTCTTGCCGCTACTTCTGCTCGCATCAAGTGTATGGCTGGTGACATACACTAGATGTCGACTCAGCCGCAGATCCCATTACCCCAGGTCGGGAAGCTCGTCAGCGTCGTGTAAGTCCTCTGAATCAGCTCTGCTTCTTCGAATCGCTGCGTAGGTTCCTTTCTAACCCTTCCGGTAAAGTCCAGTTGGTCTAAAGGAGGCTGCTCTCGACTCGCCCACATTCCGAGCCACCACCCTTCACTTCTCCGACCAGATCGAATTCCTCGAAAGATGGCTCGACGGCTATGCGAGGGCCGCTTCCAAGCTCTCTTCGGAGCTTGCGGCAATGGAAAGCGCGGCGAACATCTTCCTGTCTTATTCTACGAACCCCCTACTGGTCTCCGAAGCCGTCCTGGATCATGATTACACGCTGCAGTCGATGAGGAGGTGTGGTGACAGCACCAAGGATATGTGGAATGGGCTGATATCCACTGTCAAAAAGATGGAAAATCTTATTGCTGAGCCAATCCGGGCCTTCATGCATGAAGATTTGCGGACTTTTAAGGTACTTGACTGGTTGCCCCTGAAACTCGTGCGGATGTGGCTCTTACCCCGCTATAGGAGATCCGTCGCAACCTCGAGCAGACACAGAAACAGTACGACTATCTGTTGGCCCGATACTCGTCGCAATCGAAATCGAAGGAGCCTTCTTCATTAAGAGAGGATGCCTTTCAACTCCACGAAGCTCGCAAAGCTTACCTCAAAGCGTCGATGGACTATTCGATACAGGCCCCCCAATTGCGGAACGCGCTCGACCGACTGCTAGTCCGGGTATCGTATGATCAGTGGCGGGAGCTCAAGATATTCCACAACAGCAATGGCACGGCGTTCGCGAAATGGGGTCAGGAGATGGATCGCATCAAAGGCTGGGCTCACGAGATGGAAGGGGGCGAGCGATCTTCCAAGCGGGAGCTTTTGACTTCGAGGAAACAGATCGAAGAAGCAGCAGAGAATGCAGCTAGGCCATCTCGAGAACTAGAAGACTACTCTTTGTCCACTGTTCCCTACCTCGGCTCCCGGCCTCTGTCGACAACCAGCATGAGCAAGGAGGCTAGACCCGAGAAGCAAGGATGGGTATTCCTGCGAACTCTTTCTGGGAAGCCTACCCGGACTATCTGGGTTAGACGGTGGGCATTTTTGAAACACGGCATTTTCGGCTGCCTTGTCCAAGGCTCGCGAACAGGTGGCGTTGAAGAGAGCGAAAGAATAGGCGTCCTTCTCTGCAGTGTTCGGGCTGCCTTTCAGGAAGAGCGCAGGTTTTGCTTCGAAGTTAAAACCAAGAGTAATACCATCATGCTCCAGGCTGAAACTCAGAAAGAACTCATGGACTGGATTGCTGCCTTCGAGGCCGCCAAGCGGAAGGCTCTGGAAAATCCGGCTAGCACTGATCTCTCAGTGTCCGGCAAAGTTACCGTTCAGGATCCTGCTTTCGCAATCTCTCAGCCCCCAGCTCCCGAGTTTGCTGCCGATCCTTCTGATTCGCTCACTCCCCGTGCCAGTGACGAGCAGAGCTCTGCAGATCGCAGCGGGATGCTCGCCCTACCTGAAAGAGACCCATCCACCATGAGGAACAGCAGTGATCTCAGCAGTTATAGGAGGTTGACGACGCTGGATTCCGAAAGCTCCGCACGCGAACACGCATCGCGTATAATGCAGAAGCTGGACCTTCACCGCAAATCAAACAATGCAGTGGCGCCGTCCACTTCGTTGCCGGGTGCTGGAGGTGGCATAGCAAGCTTGATATCTGCCAGTCACAGTGCTCTGGGGCCGGGCAGCCCCCCTTTGCCCCTCGATGCTGATGGGACTAGGACTCGTAGCTCGACATTTGGCAACGATCCCCCCTCTACCCTTGCCCCAGGCACCTTGGCAAATCCACCTGCCCCAACAACTATGAGCAAGGCTGCTGTGATCGTAAGCAATGAAAGGGGTATAGGACTGGGTCAAGCCGACAAAACCGGAGGAATGCCGAGTGGCATGATGGCTAATCTGTGGGGTAGTTCAAACTGGGGCTTCATGAATCGGATTGAACGTGAACGCATAGGACTACCTGGCGAGCAGGTCTCAGGCTCCTCAGACAAGCCGGCCTCGCCAGCGAATGATCCATCTAAACAATTCCTGACAGCGGAAGCTGACACGTCTAGTGGGTCCCCAGGGAATAAGCCGCCGAAGTCTGGGCCACGTCACAGGCAGACGGTGAGCCTTGACGGAGACTCGTCCAAGATGCAGCGGGCATTGCTTGGCGATGCGCACGACTATCCCAGTTACTACCCGCAGCAGCTTAAGATTCAGGATGCGCAGTTTCGGCTGCTATTTCCTGACATCAAAAAAGATGAACCTCTGGTTATGGTGTTCCGCGCTACCTGGAATCCTAACGATCAGCAAGATTTCCCCGGAAGGGCCTACGTTACGACCCAAAACATTTACTTCTACAGCCACCATTTCGGTCTAGTACTCACGACGTGTATCTCATTGGAGAGTATTAAAGAAGTTACTGCTGCCCCAGGAAGGGACTGTGACTTTTTGTATCTTCATATGATCCCTCCTCCAGGAGACGATACTCCGGGTCGTGGAACTGTTAAGACATTCCTTGAGCCATTGCGACTTCTTCAACGGCGACTTAACTTTTTGATTCATAATTCCACTGCCGCCGAGCCACTGGGCCTGGAAGCAACCTTCAAGACCTTGACCCGGATGGAGAGTGAAGCACTAACGCGGACTCCTAGCCTTGATAGCTGGGAGGATGTAGCTGCTGGGGACGATCATGTTGAGGAAGGGGAAAGTGGCACGGAACCTCCGAAGAAAGACGTTGGTGTCTATATCGATAACGACCTGGACATGCATAAGAAGAATGGCAATGGCAAAGACACTCCCAAGTTCAGACTACCAACGCAGCCTGTTCAATATGTACCCCAAGGAGATCTTCATCTGGCAGCCGAAAAGGTCTTTGATACAAGTGCTAAAGCGGTCTTCCATATTCTCTTCGGGGACAAGAGCGCCGTCTGGCAGCTTCTCCTTCATCAGCGGAGAGCGAAGGGTAAGTTAAGTTTAGGGCTAACGCTGGCTATTGCTAACCGAGTACAGGTATCAAACAAGGACCTTGGGTCAGACAAGAGTCCAACCATCTTAGACGAGATTTCCATTATGAAATTGAGACAGCCGATGCTCTTGGTACGTCGGACACCCTAGCATGCCCTGTATCATTTCCACTAACTCAATCTAGGACGTACCCATACCAAGGAGATCTCGGATTATCAGATGATTGATGTTTTAAATGATCACCTCTGCTATGTGATTACAGACAAGCGGACGCCTTGGCATCTTCCTTTCAAGAGATCCTTCAGGCTGGTCAGCAAGGTTGTGATTACATTTGTCGCAAAGGGAAAGTGCAAGCTCTCTATCTATACTAAAGTGGAGTGGCTGTGGTCCCCATACGGCCTTCAGCGTAAGTCCTTGCCCCTAGAAGAGCCAGCGGCGCTTGCTAAGATATCTTAGATATCATTGATAAAAACGCCACCAATGATTTGGAGCAAGACGCGTTAGATCTCGTCGATCTAGTTGGCGACCAGGTCCGCAGGCTAGGCGCGCATAGTCGCACCAAGAAGGCCATTACAATTTTCGGACACATTGGACGTCAAAACTTCTCCTCCCAATTCTCGCCACAGACCGACCTACAGTTGAAGCTGCGCAATCCGCGCATTCAGAGGTCCCTGCCACAGCTCCTCTTTGAGACGTGTGCGTCTTTGACTGAGAGCATTGTTTCTGACCTGATGATGTGGACGTTCGCTTTCCTACGTTGGGTGTGGAAGACCACACACGCAAACAAGGTCATTCTCATCTTATTATTGTCGAGTATGTTGATCAATGGGTTCTATACATCCCGCGATGCCTATGAATGGTGGCACGACAGGACCGTTGGGAACTTCATGGCCCGCATCGGAGTTAGCCCCGACAACGTCATGACCAAAGCTATTTACATGAGAGATATCGACGACGCGATCGCCAATACAACAATTGGCCACGGTAGTGAAAACGTGAGTGATTGTTTCGCAACCTTCCACCAGCAGACCGTACGCAGCCCAGGAAACACAATCTCTCTGGGAACGTCAGGGTTCCGGGACTCCATGACCAGGAGTGCAGCCCGACGGATCCAGCAAACGCGCGAACGGTTGGGTTCATACCGACACGATCTTCTGGTAGCACTCCGTGTGGTTAACAGCATCGAAAGAGAAGTGATCCAAAGCGAGTGGGAGCGATGGTTGCGACAGGAATTGCGACGTTGTCGCCAGATCCAGATTCTTCTCGGCAAGAATGAAGGTGATGAAGACGTGGACCTCGAGGTGGACCGCTCAGGGCCGAGTGTCTTTGCCGAACTCACCGATGATGTTCAGCAATGGTACGAAACGTACTGCACTAGCTGCCAGGCGGAACACGCACAAATTGAGGATGAACGTCCCTTAGGTGCGCCATGAGTTGTTTGTTTTTCACAACATGGCTGAGGATGCATGGCTGTTTTGTCTGTCCCCGTTACTTGCTTGTTCCCACGATACCCGGCTGCAGTTGCTCATCTGTCCGTTTCGTCGAATGCCTCTGTGAGGTGCTTGGTCCGGTTCGTCTCTTGTTGCTGTCTGTCATCCGTGTATATAATTCTTGATCTTCTTCGGTGTAAAGATAAATTGGAAGGAATCACTTGCTTGCTTGCTTCTTGCTGTACGCTCAGCAGCATATGTCCCTGAGTTCCTTCCCCCCCAATCGTAGATTAATTCTGCCTCGGCTTCACCGCACCATCCTGCACAACATAATACACCACCGTCCCATCACCCCCCATCCTCCTATCCACCATAGCCAACAACAACCTCTTCCCACCCCACTCCTTCGTAGCCCTCGCCTTCTCCCGATACTCATAATACTCCCTCAACTTCTCCGCCTTCTCCCCTGCCCCTCCTCCTTCCAGTACTTCTCCTTCCCCGCTACCCTCAGGCAACGAATCAAACACTCCCGCCAACTTGCGCAGCGTCCATGACTCGCCCTGAACCGTGGGAAGGACGAACATGCGCTCTAGCTCGACGTCGTCTTCGCGCAGCCCGCGCTCCAGCATGAAGAGCTGTTCGTCCGGGTGGATGTAGAGATGGTGCGGGGGAATGCCGGAGATGAGGTAGAGGGGTTGTTGCTGTTCGGAGCTGCTGGGGAGGTGGAGGTCGTGCACGCGCAGGGAGGTCCACAGGTGTTGGTGTTGGAGGTTGTGCAGGATTTGGAGGGTGTTTGCGGAGAGGGGAGTCGGTGGTGGTGTTGTGGTGGATGAGAGGAGGGTTGTGAGGGCGGAGGGGGGGAGGGGTGTTGTTGCTATCATTTCTGGTGTTGATGGAGTGACTTGTTGTTCTTGGGATGGTGGTGGTGGTATTGTGGCAGTCATGGTGGCGGTGGTTGTGGTTGTAGATGGTAGAGTTGAGGCGGAATTGGAGGTGTAGCAACAATGGAGTCTAGAAATTCGAATGGGGTTAATTCGTTGATGCGCTTGTGGTCAGGATTGATAGGGAATAGACGGATAGGACTTACCTGGCACAGGTAGACAGGTAGGAACTATAGTTCGCGATTGAAGTTCTAGAATTAAATTAAGGGTCGAACAAGTGAGACCGAAGAATGAGACTCGGCGGGGCGGAAGGAAAGAAAAAAAAAAGGGCGATCGCGCCGAGATTCCGCGGCGGTTTTGGAGACGCGCAGAAGAACACATGGCATCATCGTTTTCTTTGCTCAACTATAAAGTCAACTGTCTGCTCCATCGAGGCTTGGTTTGACTGTCTGTCTATTTTCATATACCCTTTCTATATTCGTCAGTGTTTGGCGATCCACTCCTGATTATATTCTTGCCCTCGTCCTCTTTCTTATCTTTCTGCAAATAACCTGGACGAAGTATAAGCGCTGCTTTGGTTCCTCGTCGATCATGGCGCGCCAGAAACAAGCTGCGCCTTTGCAACGCGCCACCTCCTCTGAACTGATGCATATGCCTCCGGATGATTTGCAGTCGCTGGATAAGAAGATGAATGGAAAATCTTCCGTCGCAAATGGAAGTGCTTCTGGAAAGCATGCGGCGCAGGAGAATGCGCCGGACACCCCCGGCTTGATGCAGCTTGCGATCTGTGTTCTTGGAATCTACGCTTCATTGTATGTCTTTCGTTCGTGGTGTTGAGAAGTTCCAATGTCATTGAAATGCTGACTGCGACCGTCTTAGTCTTTCCTGGGGTGTGCTTCAAGAAGCCATCACCACCGTGTCCTATCCTACTCATCCTCCGACTACTGAAGTCCCCGAACCACCGACAGAGCGCTTCACCTACTCGATTGTCCTGAACACGATCCAGTCGACCTTTGCCGCCATCACCGGCTTCCTGTACCTATTCTTTTCAACCCCATCCGGCCAGAAGATCCCCTCTCCCTTCCCAACCAAGAAAATCGTCTTTCCCCTGCTCCTGGTCAGCATCTCCTCGTCTCTCGCATCGCCCTTCGGATATGCCAGTCTCGCGCACATTGACTACCTCACCTTCATCCTCGCCAAATCGTGCAAGCTCCTGCCCGTCATGTTCCTGCACCTGACCATCTTCCGCAAGAGATATCCCCTGTACAAGTACGGCGTCGTTCTCCTGGTCACCCTTGGAGTAGCTACATTCACCCTTCACCACCCCGGCACCAGCAAGAAGGTCGCCGCATCAGCTGCGAAGGGCCAGTCTGGCTCAAGCACATGGGGAATTTTCCTCCTTTCCATCAACCTGCTCCTGGACGGCCTCACGAACACCACCCAGGACCACGTCTTCAGCTCTCCGCAGCTGTACACGCGCTTCACGGGGCCGCAAATGATGGTTGCCCAGAATGTCCTCTCGACCGTCCTGACGAGCAGCTACCTGTTGATCATGCCCCATCTGTCCTCGACTGGCATTCTGCACAACCTTTTGCCCTTCCCCATTCCTCCATCTACAGAGACGGAGCTGCACTCCGCCATTGGCTTCCTGTCCCGTCACCCGGAAGCCCTGAAGAACGTGCTCGGATTCGCTGCCTGTGGAGCCATCGGACAGCTGTTCATCTTCTACACGCTGTCGCGCTTCTCATCCTTACTCCTGGTCACGGTGACGGTCACGCGCAAGATGCTGACCATGCTCCTGAGTGTGTTCTGGTTCGGCCACTCCCTCTCCGCAGGCCAGTGGCTGGGCGTGGGTCTTGTCTTTGGCGGTATTGGCGCTGAAGCTATCGTCCAACGGCAGGAGAAGGCAGCCAAGGAGCGAGCGAAGGCTGCTAAGAAGCAGTAGTCGGTGATTAATACTCGCCTCATGATAGATTTGTATTACTTTTCTGCATATGTACATATAGTTTCATTATCATTATTATTAGACTTGATCCGATCTCATAGATTGATTGATCATCTGAATTCTTCATGCAATATCCACACCAAGCCTAGCATAGCCCTAACCATAGTAAAAGAAGCAGTAATAGTAATACGATAGTTCACTTCCTCCCCTCAACCATGATAATATGGTATCCAAACCCGGTCTTCACATCCACGTACTTCGGGTTTCCCGTCGTACTCGGCTCCAAATCATACGCTGCCTTCTCAAACGTCGCATCCAGACTGCCCCGGGTCTTCCAGCCAAGGGAGCCGCCTGTACCAATTTCCTTAGCATTAATATCACCAAGCCAATAGTCACTCCAAGGGAGGATTGAACAACATATAGAATAGAAGAAAAATAGAGGAATACATACCCTGCCGAGCCTTATCCTCCGAAAATTCCCTCGCAACTTCGTCGAACTTGGCTCCGTTGCGAAGCTTCTCTAGGGCTTCTTCCTTTTTGGAGAATTTCTCGCACTGCAGCTTGGTCAGTTACTGGACCCGGTCGCTAGATTATTGTTCTATGCATAGCCATCATCTTCTCGTCTTCATTGACAGATAGACATAGGTAGATGGTAGGAGTATATCCCCATCACATTAAAGAAACACACCCCACCACCAAACCAAAGCTAGAAAACCACCTGCAACCACCCAACAAAACAAAAGTAATACAAAGAAGTGGAGAGAGACAGAGGAAATACGTACAAGAATATGTCTCACGTTAATAGCATTCGCAGGCTTGAGACCCTTTCCGCCGCCTTTGCTGTTGCTGTCTCCGCCATCCTTGCCCTTCTTGTCGCCGCCTTTGTTCTTGGGTGCCATGGTTTATTACTTCATTAACTTGAAGTTGAGTATGTGAGGAAGATAACGAGGACGCGTGTTGAAAGGGGAAGATGCAGTGGTGATGGTCAGACGAAAGATGATGTTTGCTGTTGCTGTTTGCATATGAAGCAAATGATTCCCACCCCGCCGAGGGGATGCTTTGTGGTGTGGGGTGGTGGCCTGAGGCAGATACAACGCCATGTTTTGCGGAGCGCAAATAAACGCTTGAGTGAGTAATCTTACTTATACTTCAACGTGCCTAGCTGATTAGTTGGGGGTATGAATATAGATCTTGCACACCTCATATCTATGTCTTTGGATGACTATAACTAATCTGTCCTAAGTACAACCAATTAGCAAGCCACCGTTGACTGCTCCGATAGATCTAGACCGTAGGTCTGAATGATACACAGTAACTAACCCTTATAACAAAAACCACGACAAAAAGAGGTCTTCAAGGCAACGCTTATTTAGGCTTTCAACGAGTCCTTCATCGTAGGCCCCCTGGAGGTGTGACACCCGGTCATATAATCATGATCGAGAGTGAATATAGACTTATAAGTTCATGCGACTTCTGAGTCTGTTGACTCAGAATTATAGTCTCCTACCGGATAGTGTAGTTGGATAGTCCGGATGATTCACTCCTGAAGCGCACCAGGAGCGGATCGTGACAGGAGGCACGCTTGACAGGCCCTCCTTAGTTGATATAGCACTTGACGGAGCTTTTCACACGAAGTGCTCGACGCAAACAGTCAGCAGCCCCATCCAGGCAGGTGATGGAGCTGTTCTGGCTTTCTATGTTCAAGGATGTAGAATAGTACATGTACTAGCCAGAAAGTAAATGAGCTTGCTTTTGGAGGCGCTTCGCAGTGCTCTTTAGGCTGTCGTTGGACAAAGCGCGATATTGGAGGTTTGGATACGGCGTTACGCTGACTTGTCTCTCACCATCTCGAGCGGTATAATACACCATGGGAGCCCTCTCAATCCCTCCCCTTCATCTGGATGATACGACATCTAGACCCCGAAAGACGCTCTATTGAGAAGGCTGGCGCTTTAAATCACTGGTGGAAGATCCAACAACAGTATCAAAGAATCTGAAGATAGCCTCAGACCCCGGACTGATAGTGTTGATAAGACTGAACGACGCAGCATTAATAGATCCACCCTTGCCGCTGCCGCGAACGATGGTTCTAAGTCGATCACTATGACGGAAGAAGCTTTCTGAACCATCGATCCTCACCAGGGGTAGAAGTATACATGTGCCCCCGAGCAAACAAGATTTGCATTGCCGCCGGACATGTATGGACCAGCAACAAGACATGTCCTTTGAAAGCCTCGTAACTATTTGATTGGCCTGGAAAGGGCCTAGCTAAAGTATAGCCATAGTTAGAGCAACGATGGCTCAAAAGTAGTAAATGAAGTGATCGCAACAACCGACATCCGCACATATCCAGCGCTAAAGAATAAACCATGTCATTAGCCGCCATTGCTCATCACGAAAAGGAAGGGGGGAGCGGTAGGAATCATGTTCAATAAAGACCAATGAGAAAACTCATAATCAAGCCAGTCTCAGAATAAGCGCTATCCATTATCAATTGGCTCAGTACGTACTCTACGTACTAGTATATATTGTTCATGATGAATTTGATCGGCCGTTATGCACACTTTCATAGCAATGATGCGCATTTTCGATCAACAACATGTATTAGATTCAGACATGCTTGAATCGCAAAGATAGTGCCTTGGTTTATTGTTTCCTGGGTCGTTGGCTCATGGCCAATAGAGCGGCAGAATTATCGCGCTGCCGTCTAGTACACGGGTCCATGACTATGGATGTATCCAGACGTTTCTGTGTAGGTCTGAGACAACGAGAGCATTGGTAGTATTGTCCCACCTGGCGCCTTTGCTCTGCTGGTTCAATTCCTCCTGATATAGTCTGAGCTTCGGTGATATTTGATGGCTTGCTGTAAGCTTGCAAGCGAGCACATCATGGCTTGGATCTTGTTATCCCATATAAAGCCCCAAGATAAGATATGCTAGTAGTAGATGGGTATTACTAAACAATGGACGTCCACCACACTGAACCATGTTACCAGAGACAGCTAGACAATTGATAGTAACAGCACACATCATCGTTCTGGAACCATCCATTTTGCTAGTTTACTCGAGTGTCATGTATATGAAGCTCGATAATGGTTTATTCGAAGTAACTTCAGTCCCGGAGTATAGTTAACGGCTAAGCTTTTTTGTCGAGTCATGAGCTGTCAGCAGATGTCAGGTGAGGAGCAAGTGACTTCTATTCTTATCACCCACACGCCCAGTTACACTGTAACTGGGCATCGATTCATTGTGATGGAGTAAACGCTACGCGCTTACGTACCACATTCACGGCCAAAGTGGGCAGCCATTGCGTCTCATCGTGACGACATGCCATTCATCGGCATCATCACCTACTTCTTATTCCCAGATCAGCCATTCATCCGCAGTTATTCATTCCGTCTGGGTTCCCGGTCCACGCTCAACGCCCGGTAAGTTTCACTACGATCCCCTTCTTTCTTCGTGACCCCACGGCGATCACTTACCGTGTAACCAACTCAACGGACTTGTTCTGATAGATTAATCCTCTCCTACTAGTCGTCATCCGACCCCTCATTGAACAACAGGGATAGTCTATTTGCTCTGTGCTCCCCGGTATCGACTCCAGCAAATGAGAGCCGATCTTGAGTCTGCCCGCATCAAATCACTGCCGGACGATGGCTTCTACATAGCGGATTTCATCTCGGAGGATGAAGAGGAGTTTCTCCTCCGGAAGGTAAGTGAGTTACCGTGGCTTTACTGTGCAGTGGCCTAAGTTCATTCAGGCCCCTGTGGGGAGGTTGGGCGCTCATTGGAACCCCGGCTATAGATAACGACTGCGCCGCTACCCCGCTGGACTCATCTAGCTCACCGGCGTCTTCAATCCTGGCCCTCGGCCCTGACCAAATCGAACGCGCTCATCTCCTCCCCGTTGCCTTCTTGGCTCGTCTCACCCATCATCACCCCTCGCTTCGACTCCTTGGGCCTTTTCGCCGACGCCCCGCATCGCGCACCGAATCATGTTCTGGTAAATGAATACCGCCCGGGACAGGGCATAATGCCGCATGAAGACGGTGCTGCCTACTACCCGCTCGTAGCTACTGTGAGCCTGGGAGCTCCTATCGTGCTAGATCTGTACGAGAAATGTGAGGACGGCGATGGGAACGGACATGGCCGGCGTCCGGTGTATAGGATTCTGCAGGAGAGACGCAGCCTGCTCGTTACCACGAAGAGTATCTATACCGACTTTCTGCATGGGATTGCAGAAACCTCCAGGGATGAAGGGCTGGGCGCAGAATCTATCTGCAACTGGGATCTGTTGAGGGAGCCAGACAGGTATGAGTGCGGCTGCCTGGAGAGGGAGACTAGGATAAGCTTGACTTATCGAGACGTGTTCAAAGTTGCAAGTCTCGGGAATACGATGAGGTTCCTGGGCAGTCGGTGACGCGAGGCATCCGGGACTCATGTCTCGGGGCAATTTCCCCGCTGGCCTCATGCTACATAATTAGTAAACCAAAGGGATCATGTTCCATCTCTCCCGCACAGACTCCACGCCGAATTTTCGCATGTACCACTGCCTGGTGTTCGCAGCGGTGACGCCCAAGTTGATAACGACAAATACGAGAGCGGACAACAGCGACTTGTTTACGACCTCACCCTTGGGCGCACCCAGCAGAGCTAGCGAGAGATATATCACACACTCTGCTGTATAATGCGGACAGATAATCCCGCGGAACATGGGGTGAGTGGGCAGGGTATACTTCTTCAAAGAGAAGAGATAATGGTGGCAGTCGTGCTGGACGCCCGACGCAATCAAGAAAAGAGGGATGCAGACAAAGGTGCGGAGAGACGGAGCTATCGTAACCTTGACGTCGTCGAGAATCACTTTATGAGACAGCAGGGCTCCTAGATGCGATCAGTGGGGTTCCGTACACTAGCCTGTCAGTCGGAGTGGTACCTGCTCCTTCAATCCATAATGCAACGGATACTGCTAGGTAAAATGCAAGGCCTACGAGCCAGTGAACAAACCACATTCTCGAGGCCGAAGGCTTGGCGAAGGCGTTGCACTCATATAGCCGCCTTGCACCCTGGATGAGCATGAGCGCCCAGCACAAGAAGACTTGCTGTATCGACATAGACTGTTGCATATGTTCTGGACTGATTCTCGTCGCAAAGGCCTGGAACACAGCACCCTGACACAAAAGCTGCGCAGCCCAGTAGACCGAAGCCAGAACGGAGGCAATGTAGAATTGTGTGAAGTAGCTGTGAGGGACTGTCAAGGCGGCAGCATAGTCAAGAGCGCGGGCTGCCGGAGAGGAGTCCGAGGACGCCGGGGGTGAGGACTGCGAGGACTGCGAGTCGGCCGTCGAGGTTGTACGAGCGCCATAAGGAATGAAGCGTGAGTGAAGCGAATCTGGCAAGATGCTGACGGAGAGGATCTAGGTAGGATATTCTGGGTTTAGTTTTGATGCAGGATCATTTCGCAACGTCGTCTGCCTCGAATTTGGAATGGCAACATATCGGTGCATACCGTGCAGGATGCCAAAAGGAAAAAGGCTCGAAGGGCGTCGATGGCGTCAATGTGCGTGGAGGAAAGAGCTGTATCCACTAGGTTGAAGGGAAGCTCCATTGCGACCGGAGTCCGCCGCCAATGCGGAGTAGGACTTTTGCAGCGGAGGGGGGAGGGGGGAGGGGAGAGAACAGCTAATGGCCACACCAAGGTCCGCCGGCTCCTATAATTGGTGACAAGAGTCTAGACAACAGGAGAGAAGCAGGAGAGGATGCGAGAGAAAGGCAAAGAGAGCGAGCTGCGCCCCGGGCCGGATGGTATCATGGCACCGGGGCGAGGGAGAGGAGGCTCTGGTAAAGTGGTAATATTACGGTTACAAAGGGTAGAGGCTGTCATGATGATGCGACACGTTCAAAAAGCTCGAGATGTGGAGAACAAAAACCACCGAAACCACTCCACAGCCAAGGAGATGAGCGAGATGAGCAGTCATAAATCATAAACAGGCCCTCCCCGTCCGAGTAGGAATCGGCGTGTGTTTGATCCACCAGGGTCTCGTGAGAAGGAAGCAGCTTGCGAGCTAGACCCGAGACTAGAGCGGCCTCTTCATCCTCCTGCAATAAACAGACCTCCCAAATGATCGGGTCATCGGAGGTCCGGAGGGAGGAGAGGACTTGAGGAGCTTCAATTCTCCTCCTCCGTCCGGTGTGTGTGTGTGTATGTGTATGCGTGTGTACTACCCCAGCATACTCGGTATTAAAAATAGGGATTGATTTGGATCAATCCAACATTCCGGATCACCGGACAACTTGACTCTTTCACTCCTTCATCACAACAAACACCCCCCCCTTTTTGTCCCAAAGGACTCGGACGATCCATGGACGGGGGTTGAGGTAGTAAAAAGTCAGCCATGCAACGCCAACCAAAAAGGCCGCCCACCACCATTAATTACCACCACAACAAGCTACACTACTAAACTGACATAACAGCAACAGCAACAACAACAACAACAGGAGCAGCGACAGCAGCAGCAGCAAAGAGGAAGGGGGGGCAAAGCGGGGCGATAAGCTGGAAGCAACCTTTGCGATGACTGGTCTCAGCCGAGGATGGGAGGAGATCTGCTGTTGCCCAGTGGGTCGCGCTCTTTTTTTTTGCAGAACCCTTCTAGGCTGAAAACAGCAAGAACCGGGTCACTCGGCCATCAATAATTGGTCAAACCAGGGGACGAGCTGATGCCTAGCCTGATAGCCTACGCAGCTTCCAAGGGAATTGACCCAATGGCGACGAGAATTGGGAGGGGACTGCCCATCTGCCAATCTGCCACTAAACTGGCACTGACTGCCATTTGACTGGCTCCCCCGTCCCGTCACTTTCCTTTTCTTTCGATTCTGTGGTCCCCCCCTCCTCCCTCCGTCTCCTCCGTTCCAGAGCCCGAGTTTCAGACGCAAGAGTGAGTGACCCGACCAAAAAAAGTAGAAATGAAAAGAAAATAAAAAAAAGTGGGCGCTATGCAGTCAGCTCCGGCGAAGGAGAGGAAAACCGAGAGAGAAAGAAGGAAAAGAAATGAATAAGGAAAATCAGTTAGATCTTTTTTCCGCCACATCGTTCCTCGACAGAGTCACTGGTCTTGACCGCCCATCCCCGCCCGCTTTTGGGCCTTCTCGCAGGATACTAACTAAAAACTGTGTACTAATCATTTGAGTTTCTGGATCTGGGTCGCGCGAGTCGACGCATTCAACCCTCAGGCAGAACCGGCCAGCAAGGCCAACAAGGCCAACAAGGCCAGCAGGCAAAGAGCAGGCTTTCCCCCGGTCGGTCGGGTCGCTTCAATCACGGCTGCAGCTGGACTTGTCCGTCGGAGGTGGGATTGAATGGATCGTGACTGGCGTTGGCCCCCCCCCCGCTGTACGTAAGGATCAAGGAAGGTAAGTCAGTCTGGTCAGCAGTAGCTGAACTGGTCTCCATCCATTCCATCTTTCCAAGGTGTCATAGTTGCAACTAGTACCTGGTTATAGGGTAGATACATCCCGTCTGCGTCCGTATTCAGCCTGCGGAAACGGCAGTGTGGTAATAATCAACACTGACCTACCCTCTTCTGCTCCCTGACTGCCCATCATTTGCCGTTTCATGGGGTTCGAATAAACGTAAGTACTTTACTTGGCGGGTCACGAATTGTCACATCCCCAGCTATCTATTTATCGAATTTGTTCAATTTAATCCACACTTTCCACAGGCCACAGTAGCAGCAAGAAGCAGCGGCAGCAGCCACCCCTCAATTTCACGAAATGAGTTTCAATACCCTGAATTTCTGTACCGTACTTGGTCAGACTGGGGGACTATCTATGACTAACCAACTAGCGAAAGGCATTTGCTCCGCCGGTGGCCAAATGGCAAGGCCCCCGGTGGTAAGTTTCCCGGGGCGAATACTAACTATGACCACTATGACCACGACGACTCGAACGATGAACTAACGATCGATTGATTTCTTCTGCTTGCTGCTGCTTTGGCTGTTGCTGCTGCTGCAGCTGGCTGAGGCGGCGGCGGATGACTCCTAGCAATCATCATTCATCCCTCGGGGTCGTCGTTTCCACCCCAATGCGTGATTAGTCCAGTAACTACGGGTGCACTACTATTATTACTGTTATCATCATTATTATGATTATTTGGTCTTGACTGTTGTTATTGTTGTTGTCTAACTGTCGCTGCTACTGCTGCTGCTGCTGTTGTCATTTAGGATCATATTAATTTTCTTATTCGTATTCTTATTTCTCCAGTTTCTCTTTCTTTTTAGTCACAATTAATTTCCATAACAACTTCTGATTATTTTGAATCCCTATTTTCCTTTTACCCTTTTTTGTTGCTAGTTCGCCCTCCGGATCCTCCAGAAATCTTCACTAACCATCCACTAAGACCCAACTAACTTCACGGACGGCGAACTACTCCTACCGCCCTGGTCCTGCTACCAACTTCCACTACGGGACCGCCATTACCTGGTAATTTCGCCCATCCCAGTGCCCGTCGGCCGTTTCAACTTCTCCCATCTTCTTTCATCTTTTCTTTCTTCCACTATTTCTGTCCTCTCGACTTAACTTCTTCTTCCCCCCTTCCAACTCCCCCATCCAAACCATCCGCTTAGTTTCTTAACTCTTATTTTCTTCCCCTCTTCTTCCTCCCCTCCCTCCCCCTCCTTCTCCTTCGTCTTGTCCGATTAATTACTACTTCGACTCCTCTTACACCTCCCGACCGAATTTCCCTACTACTTGCTATCCTGTCGCTACCCTCTCTCTTGACTTCAACACCAACCTTGACCTTTTTCTGGCCCCTCTCGCCACTCTTCAATCGACCCGGCTGTTCACCCTTTTCGCTCTCGCTCTCTACCACCCCGACCTTTCTTTTCGTCCGGTGAAAGGAAATAAGCTGTCACTTCTTAATTTACGTTCAGCGTGGTCGAGCACCAGCTTCCGCGCGCAACTGCTGGTGTATCTGACCACGGGTCTTCAAGTCCGCCACGGCCCCCGAAAATGACGAGCAGAACCCCCAGAAATCGAGTGCTACCGCTATGAGTGATGTTGAGGCTGTCTCCTCCCTGCCAGCTTCCCTGGATGCCGGACAAAGCGCTTTTGCTGTCAAGGTGAACCACCAGTCTACCTTGGGTCATCCACCTTCCAAGAGGACCACTCCCCCGGTTGCTCAGGATGTGGATGCTCCCGCTAAAGAGGTAGATCCTGCTGTCGGGGACGGCGATGGGCCACCGAGCCCCAAGGCTGACTCGGAGGCAGAAACCATAATTCAATCGGGCCGCGAATCTCTGTCGCCTGAGAAGAGACGGAAGTTCATAAAACATGAACCGAAACGACGTGATGATGCAAATGACCATGCTGATGCCGCAGAGAGCGATCTTCCTCCTAATGATTTGCAAGTGAGAAAGCGGAAATCGGCGGACGATGATGATGATGTGCCCAGTGAACGCGACCGTCCGGTGCGCCCGGCCAGCCCTCAGCGGAGGGCCGGCTCGCCACCTGCCCCCATAGTTAAGATTGAGAAGACCGAGGAACCCCAGACGGTACCCAGTCGAGTCGAATCGTCCCATCCGATCACATCCGCCCCCAGAACGTCAAGGAAGCGCAGCTTCAGCGAGAGTGTCGACGGGGAGGCGGATGCTCGTCGAAATGCACGTCAACATCACTCGGCAGCCCCCCGCGACCGGGAGCGACGAGAGCTGAATGGGATTTCTCTCCCTCGCCCAACACCGAACGATCGATCTGTCTCACCAGTTCGTTCTCATAAGCGGACAGCATCCGGCCCTCAGCTCAGCAGCGATTTGCAACGAAAGAGGAAGGCACCCACCCCGCTCATCTCTGGGGTGCCCAGGCAGAGTTCCGAAGACAGACAGTCCGTCTCCTCATCTACCAGCGGGTCTCCCTTGCCCAGTGCCTATGTACGGAAGGTTGCGTCTGTGGATGGTGCTTCGGCGTCTCCCGCACGGCCTATGGGGCACAAGAAACAGCGAGATCAAAATGGCCGGACGCGACTTGCACGTGCCTGTGCCGCCCAGGAGTTGGAGGTAGCCATGGCTCGACATGCCGAACGACCGGAGGATCTCAATGTTGCTGATAATGCGGGAAATACACCACTACAGATTGCTGCCCTGGAAGGTTGTGCGTCCATTGTCAAGTTCTTGCTAGAGGCTGGCTGTGAGGTCGAGACCAGGAACATCGACAGGGACACGCCGCTGATAGATGCTGTTGAGAACGGGCATCTTGATGTTGTCAAGCTCTTGCTTCAGGCCGGTGCAAATCCCCGCGCAGTCAATGCCGAAGGCGACGAGCCCAGCGATCTGATTCCTTCAGACTCGGAGGAGTACGACGAGATCCGGCGCGTGATCGAGGAAGCAAAGGCGAACCCACGCCCGAGTCGTCGCTCAGAAGAGCAAACAGGATCTGGGAATAGGGAAACGTCCTCCCGTCGGGTTGCGATCAATAGTCCACGTGAATCGCCACCGGTCAGTGGACAACGAAGTCCGCCTTATGCTGGTATCACGAGCAAAAGGAAGAGTGTCAGGAGCGAGGCTACTCGGAATGATCTACTGTGGACCAAGGCTACACCAGAGAATCTACAAGCATTCGCTGCCAAGGGCGATATCGCTGGAGTTGCCAACATTCTTAATGTCGGGCAAAGGGCGGATCCTGAGTCTATGATCGCCGCAGCCAAAGGTGGTCACGATGAAGTGTTGTCCCTTCTACTTGGCATGGGCGATGCAGATCCGGATCCAGATCCTGTACCGGGCGGCTCTCAAAAGCCGGGATACAACACCCCTATGTTGGCAGCGATTGGCCGAGGCAACCTTCCCGTGATCAAACTGCTCCTTGCTCAACCAAGTTTCAATCCGACTCGCCGTCTCCACAAGGACCGTACCTACTTCGAATTGTCTCGGGAGCGTAGGGCTGATAATTGGGAGGAAGAATACGATCTTCTGCGTGATGCATACGACGACTATATCCGGACAAAGAAGCAGCGCAAAGCCGAATTCTCATCTCCGCGACGAGTGCGTGAAAGGGAGAAGGAAGGCAAGCGAACCGGCCGCAGAGAATCACCGTCCCCGGGAGGTCGACCTAGGAAAGCAATGGCGAGCCCTGGCCGTCGAGATTCGTCTAAAGATGCACTTTCGAAGGAGCGCCGGAGAGAGGCTATGGCTCATGGAAAGGAAAAATCCAGTGCACCTCGTCCGAAGGTTGCCCATGTTGCAGCAGGCGACCAGGACGCGTCGCGTTCGGAACCGGCTCGGTTCAAGGGATCTTCTGCAAGGGACGGCGAATCTAGTCGTGGCGATGAAGCGCCCAAGAGGAGACGCTTAATTGCTGGACGACCCCCAGACCGTGATAGGAGAGTCCCTAGTTTACCTCCGTCCGAGTCCATCTCGGGGAGAGACGAGAATACCAAGACGCGCCCTGATCCTTCTGAATCCGCTACTTCCAGACCTGGACCGCCGCATTTGAAACGCGGACGCAGCAGTGTTAGTCCCGATCGACCGCGATCACGTGATACCGATGGCGAACGGCACCCGCGTGATACCCAGAAGAAGAAACGGCGTGTGCTGTCGGAGGACGGCACACCTAACATTACCAATGGAGGTGTGAAGAAGAGCCATCCAACCTCGGAAGATCTCAAGACTCCTGCTCGTCATAAGGATGACACCCAGGCCATAGAGCCTAAACGGGAACGATCGAGAGAACCTGACGTTCCGTCTAGGACAGCAGAGAAGAACCCCGTGAAGGAGGAGCAGGAGAAGGTTGAGACTCAAGGGTTAGAAGATATTCCCATGGAGGACTCAACAAGCACCGCGGAGGCTGAAGCTAAAGCCAAAGCCGAAGCTAAAGCTAAGGCTGAAGTCAAGGCTAAGGCGGAAGCCAAAGCCAAGGCTGAAGCTGAAGCTCAAGCTCAAGCCCAAGCTCAGGCCCAAGCCGAAGCCGAAGCTGAAGCGCGTCGGCAAAAAGAAGCCGAAAAAGCTGCTGCAGAGCGACAGGCAGAAGAAGAACGCTTAGCGGCCGAAGCGGAGAAGGCTCGAGTAGAAGAGGAAGAGCGGGTAGCGCGCGAGGCTCGTATTGCCCAGGAGAAGGCTGCAGAGGAAGAGCGCAAGCGGATCGAGGCGGAGCAACGGCGGATTAAGCAAGCCGAGGACGAGCGCCAGAGGCGCCTCGAACAAGAAAGGCAGCGCCTTGCTAAACTGCGCAGGGAGCAGGAAGAGCAGGAACAACGCCGGCGAGACGCCCTCCCCAGTCGGCTCAGAGCTGCAGCAAATCTCGTGGGCTCGAATGATCCACTGGCGAAGAGTCATGCATGGCTCAAGAAATTCATGCCAGTGGTGACTGCTGAAACGAAGCAGCTTGATCCATCCTGCGGGCCGACGGTGGCTGAGGAAAAATGGGTTCCGAATTACCTCGTCGCACCATTGCTGGCGACGAACGATCTTCAGTTATCTCAATATGCCACATGGGAGAAGCGCAATGCGACACCTACGCAACGCATGAACTTGTGGCGTGTCACACGAAGGATGCTGGTTCAAGCGGAAGAGACGGAGTTTCTTAGCTCGTCCTTCGAACAGATCATGCAAAAAGACTGCGAAGCACGACCCAAATACTTCGAGATGGAACATGTATTTTGGGTTAAGGTATGTTGATCCTGACAAACCAATTGCTTGAGCACGCGCTGACGTATCTAGCTGTCTGATTTCATGGATCTCGTTCCCCACATACCGCACCTTCATGGGTTGGACATACAGTTTCTGAAGATGCACATTGATCAGGAACCCAAGCCGCAGCCCGTGCTTGAGCTGCCGCAGGCTAATGGACATATATCTGGGACGCCGATCGAGGAGGCGCCCGGGCTTTTGGGAGGAAATGGGTTGACTAACGGCTATGGACACAGCCGGCCTAGTACATACGTCTAATTGTTTGTGCTTCAGCGTTCTTTTAGCTTGACGCTAGCCTGTACAGGTGAAATTCTTGATGTATGACTATGATACCTGATGTGAGACGTTGGATAATCAGTCTTGGAGTTCGTAGCGGTACTCGTAGCGATGTTCTCTGCATATGAGTAGTATATGAGTACCGCAGTATCGCAAGTATACATACAGATCACGTGACATATCAACAACCTTGACCTTATCGGAACTCACGTGACCATGACTAATGCGTAGGGCACACATTTAGCGAGAAAAGGAGCCCAAAATTGCGCCCACCACAGGCCGAGCACCACCACCTACTAGTCTATACAAGAACAAACTACCTCGACTCTTTGAGGATAATCCGACATCTCGTCATACAACACAATCATCAAAATGGTGCGCCTCCCCCCCCTACCAGCTACCTTCCCAACAACACACCACCACGATCAAATGAATTAATCAACTAACCAATGTCTTGATATATGTTATAGTCGGACGGAGAAGAGACCCAATCCAACCCCGTTGTCGCCGCCGATGAGGTCGAGGTTTCGGCCGACGCTGGCGCCGGTGGCCAGATGTCCGTCCTGGATGCCCTGAAGGGAGTTCTCCGTATCTCTCTCATCCACGACGGACTTGCCCGTGGTCTGCGCGAGGCCGCTAAGGCCCTGGACCGTCGTCAGGCTCACATGTGTGTCCTGAACGAGGGCTGCGAGGAGGAGGCCTACAAGAAGCTTGTTGTGGCTCTCTGCTCCGAGCACAAGATCCCCCTGATCAAGGTCCCTGATGGAAAGATGCTTGGCGAGTGGGTTGGTCTTTGTAAGTCATTACCTTTTATCCCCATCCCTTTGGGGATGTGATGTTACACCCTGCGGGGTGCTTTGTGTGGATGGGGTTTGCTAATGCGAATGGTTGTGGTATAGGCCAGCTCGACCGTGAGGGCAACGCCCGCAAGGTCGTCAACTGCTCTTGCGTCGTCGTTAAGGACTGGGGTGAGGAGTCTCAGGAGCGCTCTGTCCTCCTTAACTACTTCCAGACTGAGCAGTAAATTGCTCGCTTCGATATGAAAGTCTGAGGAGTGGTAGTAGGGGTTTCCACACTTTTTTTTTTTTTACCCCCTTGAGTGGTGTGGTTCGGTCGGTGGTGTAGGGTCCGCGGGGGTAGTTATGTGTCGAATGGTGGTGAAGGGATATCTTGGGATGGGGAAAGGACGGGGTTTGTGAATTTGGTTTTACGGGCTGCTGGGCTTTTTCTCTCTCGGGTGTGCGTGCTGCTGCTGCTGCTGCTGCTGCTGCGCGTGTCTCTTGCTGTCTGCATATTATCCCACCTGTTTTGTTGTATCTAGCTACGATTTGGGTGTTTCACTTTGTGATAGCGTGGATCAGACAATTGACGGATCATGGTACTCTACTTCTTGTTCTTTCCAGGGTGTCGGTTGTGGGAGGGTGTAGATGCTCAATGTGTAGATTGGTGTAAGGTAACTGGGTAATATTTGCACATTTTGACATGAATGCTGATACTGGTATAAAAACACCCGGCTATGCAAACATTGTCCCGTCCAACGCCATAAATATAAGCAGGGCCCCAAGATTAGCAGTTTACATATGACATATGTGACAGACAGCTGTACCGTGCTGTTTTTTTTTTTGGTTAGCGGAACCCGTACGAGGGACGCACCATTTTCTTCGACTCTGGTTTCAGTGACAGCTGTTGGTATGGCGAGCTGCCCGGGTCGTAATATAACCCTTCGATATGTCCAGTCTGCCGGTTTAGTGAGATATAGTAGAATCCCGAAATCGTTAGTCCTTGTCGGGAGTCGGTGGGCGTGATGAAACAGCGTTCTGTAGAGCCTTGTTAGTATGGCCTTACAGCCCCTGTCAATCGAACTCACCCTTCCATCTCATCAGTATCCACTGCTTGGATAACTGCTCAGTTATCCACTTCCGGCTCACGAGTTTCCGCGTCATTTCTTCATCGCTCAGATTCTTGAATGGCTGCAACTCCCGCCAATATGTACTGTCAATCTCCGCATCTGCTTTGAAGTTCTTTGTTTCGAGCGTATGTTTGTTAAAATCGATTATCTCTCCCTCCAGATATGTAATGATATGTGCATCATGCGCCGGGGTCGTTTTGTCCGGTATGTTGTATGCCTCCATGGTACCCGACAGCGTCATATCGTCCGGGTTGATACTATGTATAGTGACCTTTACCGGCCAGTTCTCGTCCTTACCACCCCCGAGGTGGTAAATATTATTGGCCAGGTACCGTCGTCCTGTTGTGGTATATATACTGATGCGACTGTTGTCACTCCCATTGACAATCATGGGGTCCTGGGATGCCGACGGACTGAGCCCTCGTTGTGCGAAAAGCGAGCTCGCACTGCTGGCAGCCCGCTGCGACCCCGAAAAGACCATACCCGGACGAAGCCATGAACTTTCCGGCGGCGGCGCTATCGAACTGATATCGAGGATAAAGTCATCCTCGTTCCCGTTGAGGAAATCAGTATGTACAAACCCCCCTGCGGCCGCTGAAGTGAGACTTTCCTCAAACGAGGTTGAATACCGCAGGCGATCCAGATATAAGATAGTCTCCTTCAACCGTGGATTCGGAGGGTTGTCCATGTGTAACTGTCGGTGAGCGCTTATCCGAGCGCGTAAGTCGTTGTGCGTCAAATATCGTTGCGACTCGCCCCGGGCGCTGGGAAGGAAGCGATATGCTCGTGAGGCTGATGGAGGGCCTGGTCGCTCTCGACTCTCATCCGAATCCTGGGAAGCCCGTTCCCGCTCTAACAAATAGTCGTGAAGCGCCCTCGCGCGTGTCCGCGAACCCCGCTGTTGGCGTCGCACCGACTGTAAGAAAGCCTCTGTTGTCGAAAGAGCCGGGTCGCTTTGGCGATTGGAACTGCCGTCAGACGGTTCGTCTGGCAGTGTTGGGGGACTTCGACCAGCGGCATCCCGGCGCGCGTGGCGACGAGCAGCCGCGTAGCGATCGGAGAATCGGCCGAACCATGAGATGGTGTTACTGTCGTGAAGCGGCTCGTAGCCTACGTCATCGTCATCGTCATCGGAGGCCGGAGCCCAGCCGTATACTGAGCGGGAATTCGACATCTGACCTTCGTAGTTGGGGAGATTGGTCGAGTTGGGGTTGCCGGAGGCGTCGCGTTGACGGCGCACGATGGGGATGCGGCGGTTGATTTCAATGCGCAAGTGGGACGGATCATCCAGCTCCATGGGCTCTAGATCGAAATCAGACGCGATTTGCTGTCGACGTCGGCGCTGGCGACTGAGTGAAGAAGCCGAGTCTGGTGGGGAGCGCACACGAGATCGGAGAAAGCTCACGTTATCATCATGAGCGTCATCGGACACGGCTGCGGGGAGCGAGGGAACAGGCAAGGAGAGCGCGGTCAAAGGCCGAAACGAAGAAGCGGAAGACGACTGAGCGGGGGGATCCTGTGATAAAAGGAGAGAAGGTTAGAGTGGAAACTCATCTGTCGATGGCATCAACCGAGAAGGTAAAGGCACGTCACAACATCGGCTTGGTACCTCAATCCCACGGTCTGCGCAGAGTCAATGTGGCGACCGTCCCGAGGTACGGGATACGCAGGAACAATCGACATGGATGGAGGGCCAGAACGAATAGTGAAAACTTACCGATGGCGAGTTGACGGGGGGCATGATCTGAGTGAAAGCAACAGGTGTAGATCGAGTGGCGGCGGAGAGGCAGTCCGCCAGGGAGGAAGATGGATGATGGGAGATCGCATCCACCAGGAGGCGGTACAAGGAGAAAGGAAAATCCCCAACAAGTAGTAGCTCAAATCGAGGAGCCGGAGCGAGTGAAACATAAATTCCCGACCGTTGGAAGGGTGCGAAAAGACGAGCGGCGATGCCGAAGCAACAGAATGTGAGAAAGAAGATGAGGTTTTTGACTTGCAGGAAGTTCGATTCCAAAGCAAATCCAAAAGCCGCCGAGTCACTGGATTGCCTAATCGGGCACCCCTCGCCGACTTCTCGTTTGAACTTCTTCCTTTACTTTCTCTCACAATCTTCCCGGGAGACTTCATGTCTTCCTTGTACCTGCTGAATTCTTCCATCGCTGCATATTTGTCTTTGACATCTTAAACATTCCTCATACACAACGGGGCTCACTCCCTTCATCCTCCGACGCTGGGTTCTGTGCCTGGACAGAACCCCGGATGTGCCCCATAGTTATACTCCACTAGACCATTTAGATATCTACGTACAACAATCATCACGCTACGCACTTTATTTCCAGCCAAAGGGGAAGTCCTGCACAGCCGTCTCATCCATCTGAGCGAAACATGCAAGGGATTCTCATCGAACTCCACTCTTGAATACCTCATGCCCCCGGAATTATGTGAACTAATGCAGGATGACAGCGTCCGTCTATAAGCCGAGTCCACTATGGCTTTAACGGTGCGTTTCGTGCCAAAGCCAATCTTATGTCATTCCTGGGCATCCTGCATGGTCTGGTCTTGGTCGATCGGATGCCGTGTCGCCAAGTTGCACCACTGCGAGACCCATCTATTCATTCTCTCCGTGATGGAGCCATGTCGGTAATTCGGCCTGGTAGACGGAGCAACTCCGACTGCTCTTCACCATCATAAATATCACATGTTGTCTCATTTCGTCGTCTATGTTGTGCATCTGCCAGCCCACCAGGAGATCGACTCATTCTCCACCAGCAAATATAGTCACTCGCCAGCATGGTCAAGATCAAGTCCATCGAGTACTTCCGCGTCCCTCCCCGTTGGCTCTTCGTCAAGATCGTCGATGAAGATGGCCAATGCGGTTGGGGAGAAAGTACTCTAGAAGGCCATACCGAGGCCGTCGAAGGCACATTAAATGCTCTCTGCAAGCGGTTCCAAGGTTACGAAGCCGAGTACATATCCACCCTCCCTGCTGGGCAAGGCATCCAACTAATCTCGAGTGAACAGTGACATCGAACACATATGGCAGATGGCCTGGCGTCTGGGTTTCTACCGCGGAGGCCCGGTCTTCATGTCCGCCATTTCAGGAATTGACATCGCACTCTGGGATCTGAAGGGCCGTCGCCTTGGCGTCCCCATCTACCAGCTCCTCGGAGGCAAAGTCCGGAACAAACTGTCCGTCTACGCATGGATCGGAGGAGACCGGCCCTCCGATGTTGAAGCAGCCGGGAAAGCTCGTCTCGCGCAAGGCTTCAAAGCCATCAAGATGAATGCCACCGAGGACATCAACTGGCTCGATTCCCCTCGTGCGTTGGACTCCTCCGTCGAACGGCTGAAAACCGTCAAAGCACTGGGCTTAGACGCAGCCCTCGACTTCCACGGCCGCCTCCACAAACCAATGGCCAAACAGCTCGCCAAAGCCCTGGAGCCGCACCGCCCTCTTTTCCTGGAGGAGCCGCTCCTCTCTGAACACCCCGAAGCCATCAAACAGCTATCGGATCAAGTGTCTTGCCCCATCGCCCTCGGTGAACGCCTCTACAGCCGCTGGGACGTGAAACGCTTCCTGGAAGACGCGAGCGTGGACATTCTTCAGCCCGATATCGCTCATTGCGGGGGTATCTCCGAGCTACGACGCATAGCTTCCATGGCCGAAACGTATGATGTCGCAATTGCCCCGCATTGTCCTCTGGGATCCATCGCTTTGGCGGCGTGTATGCAGGTGGACTTGGCGACTCCCAACTTTGTCATTCAGGAAATGAGTCTGGGGATGCACTATAATACGGAAGCGGGCGAATATGATATTACTAGCTACGTCAAGGATCCTAGTGTATTTTCCGTCAAGGATGGATATGTCGATGCTCTGACGGCGCCGGGATTGGGGATTGACGTGAATGAGGAGCTGGTCAGGCAGTTGGCGGTAAATTCCGAACCCTGGGCACCTAAGGAATTCTTTGGACCTGATGGGGGCATCCGCGAGTGGTAGCTTCTTTGAAAGTTATTTAATGTATCTGGCATAGCGTGAATAGATAGTGTTGACCTATACGACAGCATGATGAAACGGGCTATGCAGTACTTCTTCTATGTAAAAAAATCTATGTACTATTCATTGAGAGAGTATTCCTCAATATTCTAATATCAAATATCCCCTCCAAAGGGAGAAAAGTCCTGCATAACACATGCCGCAGAAACATCATTAGGCCTTCCTTGCCGCATTGCACTGATCCGCCCGCTTGATGCAGTCATTGATCATATGCCAGAACGCATCCAAATCCACACCACGGGGAATGCAAACCGCGTTAGGGTTCGCCTCAACCACAGACCGACCCAGCGAGCCCACCAGCGCAATGTCAGTTCCATGGAGTCCGTCCGTGATGACATTGACGGAGAAGCGCTCTCCGCCGCGGTCGTCGAATTTCAGGACCTGGTCGGGGTGGCTCTTCGCGTAGGCAGGGTTCAAGGTCGACAAGATGACCGCCACAGCAAGGGGGTCGTGCAGGGGAGGACCAGTGGAAAGACCGAAGACGGTTTCGTAAGTATTGGCGAAGAAGATCAGGAGCTCGTATAGCATCTGACGCAGGGTGGTGGGCTCGACGGAGGCATCGTCCACGCCGTGGCGGACGAGGTTCCGGACGCTCTGGTCGGCAAGGACTTGGTGGGTGAGGTCGAGAGTAATCAGGGTGGTCTTGGATGCAACGACTGGGTCGCTGAAGATGGCTTGGGAGGCTTCGGGGTCACACTGGTTTTATATGGTGTTAGTAATGGTAGATACAGGAGGTCGGTCTCCTAAGAGAGGCTGGCTTTGGGAGGTAGTAGTATAGGGGACATACGTAGATGTTGAACTCAGCAAGGGGCGTTACGTTGCCAATTCTGTTTTCCTGTCCCTCGAGTCTGCTCATGGGAGCGTCGGTGAATCCTTCACCAACACCTCCACCCATGATGGTCAGACCGGCAATGTGCTCCGCAACCTCGGGGAAAGTCGCGAACAATAGGGCAACGTTGGTCAGTGTGCCGGTTGCAACAACCCATGGTGTACCCTTGGGGTGCGCCATGAGGGCATCCCGCATGGCCAGAATGGGGTTCTTGTCTGTGATCGGGGCCGTCGAGGCCTTGGGCAGGAGGTCGGTACCGTCCAGACCAGAGTCACCTATATTTCGCAAAGGTTATTCTCACGGGCTTCTGCTTTAGTGAAAGCACATTCATCCGCAATGCTTACCGTGGATATTGGGCGCATGGAGAGCGGGTCTGCAGAAGGGCTTCTTGCTTCCGGGGTACACGGGGATCTCTGGCCGGCCGATGGCCTCCAGGACCCGGGTGGCATTGATAGTGGTGTTCTCCAGGGAGGCATTGCCGTGAATGGTGGTAATACCGAGAAGCTTCAGCGAGGGATGGTGTGCAGCAAGGAGGATGGCGAAAGCGTCCTATATATGGGCCAAAACTCCTGAGTGGTTAACCTTGTATACATGATTTTCTCTGACTCATAGATCATACTCACATCGTGGCCTGAGCGCTTGTTAGCGTAGCTACACTTGGATGGAAAAGAAGTACCTACCTGGATCACAGTCCAGCCACAGGGGGATCGGCGTGTCCACTGAGGAAGCCATTGTATAGCGCCACCAAAAGATATAAAGAAAAAAAAAACAAAAGGAGAAAGAGGGGACGCCGAGATGACAGCGAAAAGCGATTGCGGGGATTGCAGACAGATAAGAAAACCCCGTGCCGATAAGCCTTATCGGCGGGCACGGGTCTAAATCAGCCCTAAGCCCTACCTTCCCGATACGGCAGGGACAGAGCGTCATCCCTCCAAGTCCGTCGCAGTTGCCGCGGCTTGCTGCTCTTGCTTCCCCTGCCTGATGGCATTCTCACCGGGAGCGCCTTTTTCTCCGACTGCTTGATTTCTTATATCTGCTCTGTACATACTAGGTATCATCACGGTCTACTCTTTTTGCTCCCGTTCTGCCTGCTTTCCTGCGATGAGATGACCAGCGACCCTCTCCGCCCGGGCCTCCATCCGCTGTCGCATCTCAAAGCTGGCCCAACGACCTCCAGCTCGAAGTCGACGGCTGTGCCTTCGTCTCCAACTCTGCAGTCTTTTGCACAAACTCCGACGCGCCCGCAGCCAGTCAAACATGCCAGTCGAGAGGATCCAGTCAATGCGACGAGCGACAAGGCGACGATTGCTCTAATTCGACGCGTCCTATGTCCTCAAGCTGGTAACCATGGGGGTGCCACTACTCCTCAGCCTCCGGAAGATCTGCTGCCTCCACTTACGAGCTCGAATGAGGTAGATCGTCAGCTTTATGCGCTGATTGCCATCATCGTCAAGGAGTTTGTGTACACTTGGTACTCAAAGATCACATCGGATCAGGTGCTCGTGAACGAACTCCTGCAGGTCATTGCACACTGCACCCGCGCTCTTGAGCAGAGGTTGCGCGAGGCCGATGTTGCGCAGCTGTTTCTTGATGAGATTCCTGCTCTCGTTGAGAGGCACATTACATGTAAGACCTTGCGTCTTGTCCGACGTCTAAGGAGGGGTACATGAGCTGACCGCGGCCTTGGTTGTCTATAGCATATAGACTAGCGAAGCAACAATCAGAACAGTCTTCGATATCTCCTCCGCTCCGCGAGCTTTATCATGCTCTGAATCCGCATCCAGGCCTCTCACCGATCCCCGACCCATCAGACGCTCAAGCTGTTGCACAGCAAAGAGAAAATGAATCAATCTATCGACAACTATTGGTTCACGGCATGTTAGCGGTGCTACTTCCCACGGAGGACCTGGAAAATGCTTCTCTGCGGACTTTGCTCGGCGACATCCTGGCAGATCTTGTGCTGGGCAACGCAGTGGCCGGGAAAATCAGCGAAGGATGGTTCTTGTGGGACAGTATCACGAAGTTGGTGGACAGAGTAGGGCGCAATGAACAGGAGGAGGATGCAGCGACTGCAACGATGGGTCAGCGATCCAGACTTCACAAGTACGGTCTTCTCTCTCAAGAAGCGTTCACGGAAGGTCATTCGTCGTCTCAAGTCCAAGTGCCAGTTCCCGACTGGATCTGGCAAGCGCTACAATATGCCTACATGATCTACGTGACTTTACGTTTCATTGTGATCGGCCTGTTTCGCGTTGCATCCGCTCCTCCGGTTACCGCGTCCCTGACACCATGCCCTCCAACCAGCAACGCGGACGGACCCCCCTCGTGCGCAACCTCCAAGAAGCGCCCGGTGCTGGACTACCGATTGTATGGCATGGTCTCGCAAGTGATGGATGTGCCGCAGCGGATGCCTTGGCTGTGTGGAATGCTCGCACTGATCCAGTATCTGATCCTGGCCGGTCCAGGTAAATTGGGTGATACGGATAGTGTTCTTGATAGGTGAGTCGCACATCCCGATTTGAAATCTCCCAAACCCTACCCCCCTCCATCATCACTCGCAAGCAATCTCCTACAGGCCACGGATGGCCGTTGGATTCAGATGGGTGTTTCGAAGCGCGAGACGGCGCGACCCTAAGAGGCATGTGGTCTCCCAACTGTGGAGAAGCGGTACGGTTGGATCTCCGAACCATGATCTACACAGACGGCGGCGACCGGTGTGTTTGCGAGAGTGATGGTCAGAGAGGATGATGGTGCGCAGTGGTCGAGAAGCAAGCCATTGGAGTAAAGACGGCGGGCCAGCAGGAGTATGCAGGTGGGATGCGCATTGCGCGCATGCTGCAACGATCACTTGATCGCCTGGTGGATGGCAGCCCCCGCCCGCCCTCGTCTTCTCGACTCTCATTCGCCCAGCCCCTGGCCGTCTCGTCATTACCGACTGTGACCGGCGCCTACTGTTTTCTTACCAGACGGGTACCGTCCGTTACATGACACCGGACTCTCGTCTGGCTTGCCAGTTCTGCAGACATCAAATTTCCAGTTGATTAAACTGCTAGCTAGCATGTTGGACGGGAGGGCTAGTTGGCTGGCTGACTGTGCCCCCCTCTTCCTCCTCCCCCCGGGGGAAAGAAAGAAGGAGCTTTGACATCCTCTGGTCATGCCATCCGGGACTGGGGTGCCTTCGGACATACCGAACTGCTACTTACTTTCTAAATTGCTCTTCCGTTGGACCTGGTTTGGTCTGCAAGTCTGCTGCCGTCTGTCAATGGGTCTGTCAATTTGGGCCGTGGGCTGGCCCGGCCCTTCCGTCCCGTCCAGCTCCAGCTCTCTTTTTTTGTGCCGTGCACAACCTGGTCGAAGGGGCAGTCAAACAATGATCGCGGCATCGATCGCACAAAGATTCAGAGGGTAGGAACCGCAACGAAAAAAAGCAATTTTTGCACTACCGGCTAGTCGACCACCTCCTTCGAAGTTAAATCGAGCGAAGACCGCCTATCCCTGCCCCTGGAAATGGGCGTAGTCGAGGTCCTGGCCCACGGACCGACGCTAATGGGCCTTCAAAATGAATCATGACGATCAGGCACCTATTGGTTGAGCGAAACGGTTTTATGACTTGGAGAATTGCATGGATAGGGCGGAATCTCGTCCTGTTCTCCATTTTCAAGCCAATCAATCACCTAGTTCGCCCCCATTTTTATCTTTCTGAGATGGAATCCCGGCCATGACTCGCCGGGGCCCTATGGTGCGTTCAGACACGCTTCCGGAGGGCGCCCAGGTTGGGTTTCCCCCGAACAAGGCCTGAATCGTCATCTTTCTCTGCTCCGTTGCTGAACGGATGAACGAATCCGAGGCGCTTATGCTCTCAGTCCGCGACCTTGTCGTCATCTTCACCACTGGCAGCATCTCCATTCGCACCAATAACTGGCCCAAGCTCCTGTACTGCCCCCCTAGCCAAGCAGATCCCTCTTCTAGTGCTACTGGACTTGCTCACTTTATCGGAGTGTGGCCGTCATTACTATCCTGATGGGGCAAACCGCTTCTCCACAGTCTGAGATTCTGTCAAGTGTCAACTGTTACCTCGGGGCTATCGCGGACCTCCCCATGTGATTCGACTGTTGACTCCTTCTGTTTCTCCTTCAGGATGAATGCCTTACCTTGAACCTAATTATCGTTTTTCCACTTCATTTTCATTGTTCAAAAAATTATTTTTTCTTCTTTTTTCTTACGTTTTCCTTTTCTCCACTAGGTTCCTTCACGAGACCATCCGCGATCATGTCCTTACCCCCGCCCTTTTCCCAAACCTGCTTCTTGCGACTAGGGCCGCGCTCTTTCCTTTGAACGCCCGGCCAGCGTCCACAGCGGCAGATGGTCGCGCCGCGGCTTCGGCGCCGCAGCTGTCCGTGCAGCCTCCAGCATCTCCTATAGTGAAAGGGTCTGTTAACGACGCCGCTGGCGCAAGTGACGCTTGCAGTAGCGTTTCCTCGTCTGGTGTCTCCGCGACAGCGCCCTTATCGCCGGATCCGCGGCCTTCCACGCCCGACGTCGCTTCTATCAAGCGACGCTGTGCGGCCAGCATTCTCTCCCGGCTTCCTCGCCCAATCGCACGTCGTTTCTTCGGTGTCCCGTCTGTTCCTATCGAGCATAACCCGCCGTCCCGACGCCCAGGGCGACTGAGTAGCTCCGACGAGCCTGAATCGCCCTGGCTCGACTCTCCCCAGGCGTCATCCACGGTCTCACCCGCAGATTGCGGCCACGAGGAGTTACTCCTACTCGCTGCCGTTGAGGAGATTCTCGACCTCTTTGCCGATGATTATTGCAACAAGCATTTAATATATTCCATCATAGAAGCCATTCTCACAAAGCTCCTTCCGGAGTTGTCTGAGCGCAGCATCGCCGAGCTAATGGAGGACAGGGGGGTACCCCTGGCATCTGACTTGACTCCGCCTACCCATGCGGGCTCATAGACGGCGTACAGTGTACGCGGTGCGCTACATCGAGATATTCCCTTCCCCTAGGATAGTAATGTTAATGATACCAATATCGCATAATAACCCTTCTTTCAGGGTTCAGTTCTTGCTGAAATCCCGTAGACAAGTAGTGCTTAAGCCACTCATATAAGCGGCATGTAACCCTCCATCACCACGTGCCCAAGTTGGGGTGGCTTCTGGTGGCAACTAGGGCGTGTCACCAGAAAATGTGGGCCCAAACTAAGTGGAAGTAAACATTTCCCTTAGCTCAACTCTCATGCATGCCCCAGAATACAGGCGTTGCTAAGAGGTCTTTTTCATTTCCTCAACCCCACCCGCCAACGGCATGAATCCAAAGCAGTCACGTAGTAGTTTAGTAGTAGTAGTAGTAGTAGTAGTAGTAGTAGCCAATACATCAATGGCCAAAAAGAGCGACAGTATAGTAGATAGGTAGTAGTATGATACGTAATGGTTACAAACACATGCCGACATGGACAGACAGAAAGACCAGGTACCGGGATGGTACAAAAATGCCATCTTGCCTGGGCCGAACGTCAAAAAAGAAACGAGGCAAACCTGCAGAAGCGTCAACGAATGAGAAGGCCTCCCGATCTAGGCGTGCTAGCCGTGGGGAGGGGGGAAGCCCCGGTTGCTGGCAGGCCGAAGAAGGACCTGACAGGGTCCCTTATGGATGGGTGCCTTATCTGTCGAATCAGACCAGCCCCATCTCCCCAGAGACAGCGCATAAAGGACCGGGGGGAGGATCAAACAAGGTATTAGTTGGTGGGAATAGCGCAGAATGCGGTGTGAAAAAATAATAATCACTAAAGCAACGACAAATAAGAAAGAAGAGAAGTAAAGAGGGAAAAGAAAAAAGAAAAGCCACAATTAGTCTGGATATCGTATGATCACGAGTCTTCCAGGTTGTTTGCCAGTTAAGTTTACCCCGGCTGGCAGCCCTATCAACGCACATCAGGTTAATGCACAAGGATTTCAAAAGATGTTCAATGAACAGAGGAAAGCAAGGAAGGACAGGTACAGAACAGTGAGACAAATGCAGATGCAGGCAAATCCGCGCGAGCGGGTAAGTTCTGGATAATATGCTCCTCTCGAGACAGAAGTATATGAGCCAAATAGTAAAAAGACAAAAATAAAAAACATCCCAAGGCCGTATTCCAAAGCGACACTCCTCTCAACACCAAAGGGTTGCGAACAGGACCAAGCACCTGCGTTCCCTTCCCTTTAGACCGGATATTTGAGGTTGCCCTCGCGCGGTGTATCATCGACAAAAGAAATTTTTCTCAGGGCCTCGGAAGTATCGCAGAGCCACTGACTGACACATTCGATTTGGCATGAAAATGCAATGTTAAAACAGAAGACCGCCCGGTAAGAATAATCATATGTGGTATAATGAAAAGAGCAATAGAGAAACACCAAAGAAAATATTAGGATAATATGCCAAAGGTAGTGATCACATGTAGTCGCTACATGTTTGGGATGCCATGGTCCGGGAGATCACTGGCAGACCAGGTCTGTCTAGCCAAGGCTGTGGATGCTTCTCTTCCTGTTCAATTGAGGTGAATCGTCATGTTCATCAATTCGAGTGAGACCCCCTGGGAGGGTCACTTGCTGTGCCTTGGCGAGCTCAAGCCTTTCCATCAACTTCCCAATTGTCATGTAATCATCTGCCCCAAGTCCTGACGGCTGCTGTTTGAAGTAATTCATCACGAGCTCTAGTGCTCTCCTAGCTTCATCCTGGGTTGGCGAACCCGGGGAGCTAACCGGAGACACGGTGTTGGACTTCGAGAACAATGGTGGATATATGGACTTGGCTTTGAATTCCGGATTGCTCCGATTGCGTTTAATTGTATTCGCAGACGTATCAAGCGCTGGGAGGAATTTCTGGTCGTGATGTTCCTCAGGGGGAGGTTGATGTTCTGAGATTGAGAGTGACTGTCGTAGTACGGCTTTTGTCAAATGCTCGGGGTTTTCATCAGGGCACATAAGGTTCGGGTCGGACGAACTGAGCGGAAATGTTTGGCTGCGTGGTCTGGTGGTATTGCCATCCGCGGATGAACCAAGGGACTGGCTAGTAGGAGTAAATGGACTTTCGGTTACGAAAGTGGATGTCGGACTGGTAACCCCAGCAGAGAAAGAGCATGTTGTGTCCAGTGAGGTTGTACTCTTGGTATGCGTGTGCTGATAGTCACTTGTAATCTCTGCAAGACTCTGGACAAGCTCGCCCCTGATGTTCTCATTGCTCTGGACGGGTGATAGCGGCAATGGTGATAGGAAGCCTGTGGGGGATGTAGGCGAGAGTAAAGTGGGCGACTGGACCGCGGACGCCAGTGCTGAATCGATGCTCAAACAAGTAGGGCTATCCGATTCGCTCTTTGTGCTGGTCCAAGAGCCCTTGCGATTCCTTGCCCCCATCAAATTATACTTGCGTTTGAATTTCTCCAACCAACTGGTACTTAGCACCTTCTCCTTGCCGTCTGAACTGCCACAGGTACTAGCAAAGAAAAGGGCCTTCTCACGTATCATCTCATCGTTCAACGGGTAGCCCTGTTTCTGGTAGTTCCGTGCCCAATTAGACAAAGCCTTTTCAATATCTGGGACCCTTCCTTTGGCACGCTTGATGGGAGATCGACTGCCATCGTCTGGATTGAGATACTTATCCTTCTGCCGCAGGACCTTTGAGACAGTACTTTAATCATACCAGTTAGACGATTTTTTTCAGCGAGTGGGATCCTCTAAGGGTGACTTTACCTTCTTTCAACACCAAATAATGCTGCAAAATGTACTAGTTAGTCTGAAGTATCTTCCCTCAGTAGGATTAGAGAACGCTTTACCTCCAATGTCTGTTTGCTTGGCTGTCTTATTCTCCTCGTGATAAAGACACATCCGCCGACGGTCTTCATCCGTCAGAGTCCTGCGAGGCGTTGGGTTGCTATTCGACTTTCCAGTGGATGACTTGCCAGATGATGATTTCCCAGCCGTCGACTTGCCTGTAGATGCCTTGCTAATAGATGCCTTGCGAGGAGCTGCTGGAATAGTTGGCACCGGGGCCAGTGTGGGTGGTGCCTGCATCAAGGGTACAGCTGGCATGCCCGGTTCCGGGAACGGCCCTTGGTTTGAAAGCATACTAGGCCAGGAACTCGGGGGTGGAGGCATGGCTATTGGCAATGTCTCATAAGGTGGGGGGATATCGACGCCATAGGATGGGTCTAGTGGTACGACTCCGTATCCAAAAGCTTGGTAGTCCAGCGTTGGAGATTGCTCGGAGGGACTGAATCCACCTATATCAAGCCAGGAAGTCTGCGCAAAGTCATGTTCCTGCGCATGGCTGCTCTCTGTGTCCATGTCTGACGAGCGAGCCCTAAGCGTGGAGGCTGTATGCGGAGGATGAGAGATTAAAAGGGGTAGTGATATCACAATTGTTCGTGAGTGGTGGTGATGATTGCACCGATGTCAGTGTCCGACGAGGACAGTCTATCGGCGCACTATAGAGGTTATAAAGACCGAGATCGGGTGATTTGGGAATCGATAGACGGGTGAAAAAAGCAAAGTAAAGGAATGTCCAGTAACGACGGACAGCTTAAGACCAAGACAAGGTAGGCAGACGCATGTTCGAGCTTGAACGGATGATAGACGAGAAAGATGGTGCGATTACGGAAGCTGAGGCGCTCGCATGCATCAACTGGAGCGGATGGAAAGCGAAGATCCTCGGGAGCAAATCTCCTTCACACTCGTAGTTCGGAAAGGTTCCCAGAGTAGTAGCGCATACCAGACACCTGCAGCAGGCCTGGAGTCTGATCTTTTTCTGTACAAGGGGGGAAAAGAACGGAAAAATGGAGAGGCGGGTCGTCTTATGGGGAGGGGTGGGAGGAAGTGCGGCGGGTGGGTAAAGCCTGGAGTTTAAAAAAGGGACAGGCCAGGCCACCGGCACAGGGACGATCAGGGAAGGAAGAGAATCAATTGGAGAAGGAAACGACGACTAGGAGATGGGAGGTAAAAGGGTAAGGTACGGAAGGTACGTCAGTTCACGGACAAAACTGGGCGGAGAAGGCAGTAGTAGTAAGTACAGTAGTAGCAGTGGTTGCAGTAGGTTATGGAAGGGAAAGTAAGTAGCAAAAGTAGTAGATATAGTAATACCCAATGCATGGATGTAGTAGGTTTGTGCAGTACCTACTGAGTACGAACTAAGGGAAAATGTACCTAGAGCGTATTTCGTGGTATACTTACTCCTACTACTTCAGGTTCTAGCTGGTAGATCAGTCGGTAACCTCCGTACAGATGTCCTGACTGGAGATTACTAGTACTAGTAGTAAGTCGTAAATGCTCTAGGTAACCTGCTTCCTGTCCTGCATCAGCCGATGAGAATCGATACAGATAGATAGGACCTCCTACCGGGAAACTAAGTACTACTACTAAGTTACTGAGATACATCGAAGGGCTGGATCCCACCGATATTGAGGAGGGGAACCCCCGGTTCGTTGATACCTAACCTATCAGATCTATCCAAGGAAATTATTACGGACAGCCAGACACGAGGCCGCCGCCGACGATGCGATACATCCAGATTTTCCAGATAGCGAGAAACCTGGAGCTGTGGGCGAAATGGGAAAAAAAAAGGGAAGGTCTAGGGGGAGGGAATAATAATCGAAAAAAAAAAAAAAAGGAAAGAAAAGAAAAGAAAAAAAAATTATAAAATAGAAAAAATAAATAATAATAAAATATAAGAAAATAAAAAGACGCAGGTCTTGCACGACGATTGGGCCGCGAAATCGAATAGTAATTCAGAGTAAAGGCAGGCACGCTAAACCCCAACCAGATGATGGGTGGGGGAACTGCCGCTGATTGGCAGGGATCTAGATTGACCAGCAGGGATCTGCCTTTGGGACCAAATACCACTAAAGACGCATGGTAAGGCCTCGTACCACGTCGGGTCAGCATCCTGTATCGTGCATGACGGCTCGTATCGTGGTTGCGAATGGTCCGTTCCTAACTAGCAATCAGGCAAAGTAAGGAAGTAGCAGCAGTAGGCTCCCCGAGCTTGACAGAATGATACGATGATGGAGGTGTGTCTTCTCCTCCCACCGCAGAGATTTTCCTTTGCTTCCTGGTGTTACATTGGCGGTCAACTACACCAATGACCGTTGGCCTAGCGCAGGATATACTTGGTTAGTCGAGATCACTGAGAGGACATTGGGTACTTAGAGACCGTACCCGATTCCAAGTGGAGCAGCAGAACCTGGTATCCATGATAATGTCGTTGATAACTCAAAAAGGGCAATTGAACGGTGGATGGTAGAAAGGGATAGGTCAACTACGAGAATGGACAAGTAATCTTTTTTCTCCTTCTTTTCTTGTCTATGTCTTCTTTCTTTATCTGGCTTGCCTATCCTCTGTTTCCAATCGAAAGAAGTATAGCTCGATTTCTATTGTCGGAGCTTGTACTTTCTTTTTGCTTTCTTAACCATTGTTGGCTTGTCTCGCCTCTACTTAGAATAATTATATGGATGTTGCGCGTTTTATCTTCCATCCATCCTGTAGAACATTCATTTTCGAAGCAATATATCCCGCAACTGGGACGAAGAGCGATGTGAGTGGACCAGGCACCAACGAATAGATGAGGGGATCGGCTCGGACAAAAGTTATGGAAGGTTGAGAGGAACCCTCGAGGGCAAACCAAGGTTCATTTGACGGAACGGGGAACGGATCGATAAACCGCTGAACCTAAATGCCCGCATGACATACTTGCGGACAAAGAAAGAACTTCGAAACTATACTGGTATGTCGCTCATGATCAAGCGGCGAAATCCCAACGGTTTCCTACTGGAGATAGTCCCCAGGATGATAAGTGGGATTTCTCAATTCCCAGCACTGCCCGGTCCATGTCGCTTTGTGGCGTTGGCCGAATGTCAGATCTGACTGAAGAAGGTGGAGACCAGGGGAGTGGTCGCATAAGATGAGGGGAAGGTCACTGGAATTGTAGAAGTACAGGTCATCAGGAGATAGTAAGGAAGTAGTAGCCTGTGAGGAGAAGGGAAGAGGGGGGGAAAGGAAAGGAAGAGGAAAGGAAGAAAAAAAGGACAGAAGACGAAAAAAAGAAAAATAAGAAAAGGGAAGAAAACGGAATAGGAAGAAACATTGACACCGGCAAAAAGCGGTCGATCTCTCAGGGAGACTAAAGGCGATGAGGCCTGAGTGGTGCAGCTGGTTGAGCTAGATTGCCACTTTCGGAAGTAGTTTCTGTTAGTACCTTACTGGTATTAGGAAGGTTGTCAGAATATGATTCCGACGCCGAGTTTCCGTCCATGGCATAATAGACTTCACACATCTGAGGATTCCGTATATTTCCCTCACTCTCCTCGTGCTTAGCGCAATATGGATGAATAATGATTAT